AACAGTGGGGGAATTTTCTCAAGGTTTTGCTCAAAGGCAGTATATTTCACACCTAAAATAAGTGTCTGTTTTTACCCCCTCTTTATGATTCATCACTCTACAACATTGAGGCTGTGACCCCCCTAATCTCAGGTTCATGACCGACCTGAATAATGTGGTGTCATTCCCTGAAACCTTTTACTAAGGAATGCCTGTGAAATGCTTGTGAAATTCATTTGTAGCTTATCTTAATATTATTAAAAAGCAGAAACCCTCATAAAAAATGTGCATTTTTTTCTTGAAGCAGGTCTCAAAACACTGGCGTTTCTTTTCTACAAATGCTTATTGTTGAAACTGCTGTTTGACTTTCTTGTCTTCTGCTTTGTTCTGATCAAAACGAAAAGTGTTTGACGCACACAAAGTGAAATTGTCTGGCAGCTTTGAATAGAGCAGTGTAATGGCTTTAAAAGATTATTTCTAACAAAAGGTCTCTCTGTGAGGACCCATTTTGTAACAGTTTTAGACACTAAAAGAATCAAATCTGAAATTGTCAGATGTAAAAACGAAAACTTTTAATGGATAGGGGAGAGTGGGGCAAGTTGAGCTGAAGGGTTAATTGAGCCACCCCCTGTTGCTTGGAAATGGTAAAAGAAATTGATCATGTGACCAAATATTTAGGAGATGGGCATCAATTCATGGAGTATGTGAGGGTTAGAAGGGTGGGGGGGGTAAGGGGGTATAGCTCAACTTACCCCGCTCCTAGTAGAATTCAGTGTTTATTTCCAATCTATTCTCATTCACTGGGATCACATCAAGCTTTAATATTTACGAATTCGAGCCGACAAGGCTGCTCCCAGAGATTTAAGGGAAGAAAAATCACACTTTAAGCACAGCACACCTCAGGATAACCTGGCAAGATAATCTTAAAAGCCATTTGATCAGGCCTTATATAAAACATCCAGTAAAATTAAATATATAAGTACCAAAAAAAATGAATGATAGAGGTTTACATCAACTGAACTACAATAAAGTAAACAAGTATACTTGACAATGACAGTTAAAACCCTTTGCCCTCCCACCTCCTCTCCTTCACCTCCTCCAATACTTCCTCACCTTTTTACACAATGAAAAAAACCATCAGAAATTTCTGGTCATTAAAAAGTATAAATGACATGAAAATAAGAATTATACTTTAATGCAGAACCATGAGTAAGGGTAAGAAATAATAGTTTACCTTTTAGCATGAGTTTTAAACTCCTCTCCTCTTCTCTCATCTCCTCTCCTCTAGCTCTTCTTTCTCTCTCTCTTTTTTGCAAGTGAATCAATCAAAAGGAAAGTTCAGGTAAAATGTGCAAAAAGAGAGAAAACAAAGTTTACTTGGAGGGATTGTAGAAACTCCAAAATTGTTGGAAGAGAGCAGCGCACTGGATCCTCACTGCGATCATTACACCAGCTAGAAAACAGTTTCCAGCGGTTGGCATATTGCAGCCTGGTGGATTGAGCTCTTGAGTTCAGAATGGTGTGTTGAACGGCATCTGAGCGGCTGCTCAGCAGCGGTTCAGGCCCTCTAGCAGCCAGACACATAATTTGAGGCGTTGAGGGTTCGGATGCCAGACCCGCCCTCCTAGCTGTGAGAGCAGGTCTCTCCTGTCGGGTAGGCGCCATGACATCCCATGACAGAGTCGGCAGAGCAGAGGGAACCACGTCCTCCCCGGCCAGAAAGGCGCTATCAGCAGGATGGTGTGACCCTCCTGAAGGACCCTTTGAAGAACAGGCCGGATAAGTGGAAGAGGCGGAAACGCGTAAAGCAGTGCCCATGGCCATGGGTGAGCCAGTGCATCCTGACCTAGAGAACTGGTTGCCTCTCCTAGAGAGAACCACAGGGGGCAGTGTGTTGAAGCCTCTGAGGCGAAGAGGTCCACCTCTGCCCTGCCGAAGCGACCCCAGATGTGCTGCACTACCTCTGAATGGAGACACCCCCCCCAAGGAGGTTTCTGACGAGAGGGTCGTGGGTCAGGGTGGAAACAACCCACGGGTCCGAAGCTTGTGCAGCCCAGTACTTGAGCTGTTGATGGGTAAAATATCCAACGGCCGGCCGTGGCTTCAGTACTTGGGCCCTCGGTCCCTTGGGGGCCTAGAGGGGGGGTGTCCAGGGTTTGGGGAACGAAATTGCCTGGAGGGCCCAGGAGGCATGGAGTCGGGAACCCGAGGGTCACGGGTCTGACCCTGCACAGGGCGCTTGAAATGGCGCTGGCCGCCGTAGTAGGCTGGTGGTGGCATGCTAACCCGTGGGGCATTTGAGCGCCCCCTGCCCCTGCGGGGGGGGGGGGGGGCTGTTCGAGGGAGGCATGTGTCGCAGGCCAGTAAGCTGCTGCCTTGTCTGCCTCGCCTGGATCGTCCTCTCCAGCACCTCCTGCGCAGCTGGGCTGAATATGGTTCCTGGCTCCACTGGGAGAGCACGCAGGGTTCTTCTAGTCTTCTCCATCAGGGGTGACTGCGACAGCCAGACCTGGCGTCGAGCCTGGACAAGGTACGACATCATTCCTCCGAACTCCCGGGACATGTGGCCAAAGGCCTCCAAGGCCGCATCGCAGAAGTTATTGCTGTCTCTGGCATCCCCGGCTGCTTTGCCTCCTGGACCTGCATCATCCCCATGCAGGGAAGCTGAGAGGGCCAACATCAGGTGTGACAGAGAGTTGCCGATGCAACCAGCACGTGCCCCCGAGTCATAGGCTCTGACGAGAAGATCATCTGTCTGCCTGCACTGGGTCTGAAGGCACCTTGCGTCCTGACGCAGCGACTCATCTGGTGACACAATGAGTGATGCGATACCCGGCTTGATAGCTGGTATTTTGTCCAGACCCACTGATGTTGCATTGTGCATTGCCGCCAGGGCCCGGGCATCGGCTGACAGACTGGTGCCAGCCTTTGTGTCTATCCAGCTGGCCTGGAGCGCCCTCAGAAAGTCCTCTGAGTGAGGGACAGTAAAGGCTGTAGGAGGCGGCCTGCGCCTGAAAAAGACGCTTGCACGAGCTGATCCGGCCTGCTGTGGCGCTGTCACATTCAGCTGCTCCAGGACCGTGCACAGTATGTCGCGTATAGAGGAGTCCTCTGTCACAGCCAGTGAGCTGTAGTCTGAGGAGCGGGAGCCCATCGAGGTCAGGGAGGTACTGCTTTCTTCATCTTCCTCAAGCTTGCGGAAATGTGTGGCTGACGCTGCCAGGGAAAGAGCATCCTCTTCCCGGGCTAGATATGGCAACGGTGGGGTGGGAGCCTCCTCTGACGGGGACTCTGGCCGGTGGGCCTGGGCCATGAGCAAAGCCTTCATTTGTGCCAATTCGGCCGACAGCTGATCCACTTTAGAGGTCAGATTGCAGTCAGGCTTTCTCTTTTTTGAAGGGGGTGCGGCATGAGCAGTAGTGGCCTCAGCCCGGCTGCTAGACCGTCTAGACTCGGCGTCTAGCCAGCCGCTTTGAACGTTTGGTCCGGCCTGATGGGAGTTCACCTTCATCTCCCACTTCTGTAAGCCTGGCAGCCCTCACCGCGTAGGGCATGTAGGTGCAGTTCATACAGGCGTTGTCGCCAAGTGCGTCCCTTAGATGAGCAATACCGAGGCATCTGGGGCAGAGGTTATGGCCATCGTCTGGCTCAAGAGGAGCCTCACAGGAGGAACAGGGGTGTGGGCGCTCCATGGCTTCACTGGTTCCTCTATATCAGCGAGGCACAGTGCACGGTTGCCCGTGTTCGCTTCACTCGCCGTAAGCCCGAGGAAGGGAGCGCACACGCTACCTATGCAGGCAGAGGCTGTTTGTGGGTGGGTCTGTATACAGCTCGCAGGAGGGAGGCAGCGCTAACGCTACCTGTACCAGCAGAGGCTGTTTGGTGGTGGCTCAATGTTCAACTTACCGGAGGGAGGGAGTGTGAACGCTATCTGTACCAGCGGAGGTTGACAAGGAAAAATCGTATAAAAACCAAATTATTAGCATAATTAAAGTAAGCTATGAACTGGTAGTCAACTACACAGTAGGGACCATAAGCTGGGGAGAGGGGTGCTTACACCCCCTGCCAGCAGAGGCCATTGTTGTCATGAAGTCAGGAAAATTTAATGAAATATACAGATTTTACTGTAAGCTAAGTAAAAATTACTAAATTGTACACAATAATCAGCAAAAAACAAGCCTTGAAAACAACAGAAGAAAAAAAATAGCCCAAGGAAAAGCTTTCCACAGCTGCCAAGCTACTAGTAGTAGCTGAGGAGCAGCGAACGCTAAATGCCGGGAGGAGGGAGTGCGTAGCTGCCTATTCAACAGGGCAAGAACAACGAAAAAAGTACTACACAAAATAGCAACTGAGCCAAAGGCTAGAAAGGCACCCTATTGACTTTCGGAGCGTTACTTGAAAAAAAAAAAGACGGTCGACCACCGAGCTAAAGCCTCACGCTGGCTGGAAACCAACAAAACAAATCGCTATAACCACAAGAAAAGTGAATATAGTGCAATGATCCTTGACGCTTGTACGATGAGAGCGCTATCGCTATTGTTCGCTTTCACAGCGAACCCGATACTTATGTTGGAGGGAGGCTACGCGAACGCAGCCTATGCCGACATAAGACGATAACCAACGCAGACCCAACAGACATCGTTCGAAAACGCCGCCAACAACCTTACCTCAGACCCGCGGCGGGGTCGGTGGCGCGGCACAGCCGTCGGCTCCCGGCGAAAGCCATAGCGTCGTAGCTCAGACAACAGGTTGATAAAGTTGCAGCTCATGGAGGGCAAATGCCTCGCTACTCTGACCGATTTATATGGTCACGGAACTACTTGCAACGTTTAATAATGTAGAAAAGCAGCTTAGCATTAAGCATAAAGCAAAGTTTGCGACTCGCATGCGAGAAAATAAAAGGGACTGATTCCCTGGTGACTCCCATGGATATAGACTTCTACCGGGTCATACGGGGGTCACAGCTGACTATTTTGGTATAAACACTCAAACTACGCATGCGCAAGGGGAATATTCAGTGCTTAAAGCACCGCCTCTGGCGGTCAGGAGGGATGAAATAGAACAAAAGAATACCACTCACAATAAAACCCTAACCTCTGTGCTTCCTTGTTATTAGTCCTTGTCAACTTTGACCTTTCTTACCTGCTTTAGTTTTCCAGAGTCCACGTTTATGTCTTGTCTCCCCCACTAAACTAACAAAACTAACACTGAATTAATCTCCCCCTTCACAGACACACACTCTTATTTCAAACTTTGAAGAACTAAAACACTAAACAAAGTAAAGCCACCTCAATATTACACCTCAAAACACCTGAAGACCTTTTTACAAATGAATGACACTAAGTTTAACTTAAATGAGGAAACTCTAGTTTTGTTTGTAACAGGAGTGAAATCACTTACCTGAATACTTACCTGCTGGTTTGAGAGCTGGTTTCCTCCTCCACCAGCTCTCAAACCACTCCTCTCTCTCCCCAGTGGCGAGCCTTACCTTTCTCGCCCACTCTGGCTCAGGGATGTCCAACAGTGGGCGAGGCTCAGCTGGTCGGAAAGATCCCAGTCCTGAGGCAGCACTGGGGGCCCAAGCTGATTTCAGAGGGCCCTGTCCTGGAGCAGCAGTGGCAGCCACAGCTGGTTTCAGAGGGCCCTGTCCTGGTCTGTAGCAGCACGGGGCGCCAGAGCTGCTCTCCATGGGCATCTCTTTGGAGCAGCGCGTGGGGCTACAGCTGGTTTCAGGGAGCACACCTGCACACCTGGCCTGGATTCCATACTTTCTTCTGGGGAGAACCCTGGAAGAGCTGGAGACCACAGTTTAAAAGAAATGCATGGTGATGTTGATGGGCCTGACTCAGGAGCCTCAGTGGGCGCCCTCCTAGGAGGACCACCTCACTGAGAGCCGCAAGTGTCTTGCGGCGTTGCTCCTTCTAGGCCTCATCAGTGGGGTGGGAAGGAAACCTTGTGTGCAACCTTACGTGACTGTCAGGAGGACTGGCAGGCGTGGAGCTGCTGCTGCTGCTGCTGGAGGTCTGTACCAGGACCCTTTGGAGGATGAGCCGCTGGCTGCCGGACCGACCTGGAATCGGGATGAGAGGTGAAGCCCAGGTAAAGCGCCACTCCATCTGCAGGCAAAAACCAAAAACAAACTTTTGAAAACTTCTTCAGGGTCTGAGTTCCTGACTCTTATTATGTGCCTTTGAAACAGCTAACAGCTAACAGTAACGCTGTAATGATGTTGTTTTGTTCTTATATTTTCAAGACCAATAATATGTCAAATTTTCTAAATAATCAATAAATAAGAAAATGAGAGTGAGCGTGCACTCATCACGTTACAAAGTTAAAAATATGTAGCCTATCGTGTAAGCTTGTTTTAAGTACATCTTCATTAACATGCTTGATTGATCATCCAACATTTCCAGGGGATTTTATTGAAATTATTTTCAGAATTTAATAATAATAGTTAAACAGTTTGGCAAATGTTGGCAATTTGCTTTTATTTGCTCAATGGTTCCCATCATTTATACTTTCTGCATACGCTGGGGCTGGATAAAAAGGTCTAAGATTCTCACTTTTCCTCTGGGTGGAAGTCTTGTCCTGGGACCTGGTACCTGGTCTCTGGTCTTTTGTTGGCTCCGTCAAATGAAAATACTTCAATGAAGTTTGTTTTGAAAGAAACTCTCACTTGAAAATAGTTCAGCTGTGGCTGCTGTGAAATATGGGACTGATCAGTGGGTTTGATCGGATTCAAACAAAAAAAACAGTGTTTAGGTAGCAAATAAAAAATGGTTCGTTTTGTACTGAGAAAATATAGATTTTACTATCAATATACCAGAAATAGCGTTGAATTATAATGAAATTACATTTTGTTGTACAAACACACTGTATTTGGCAGTTCTGTATTTTGTTTGATCAAATATATGTGTGGTTGTAGTCTCAATGTGACAATATGACACTAACATACTGTAAGCAACTAAAATGACTGCAGGTTACACATGACAAATACTGTACTGCGAATCATTCAAGAAATCATTTCATTTTGTTAAATTATGTGCTTTCAGCAGCTGTGGGTTTACCTCTGTAGTCTTTAGTTTAATTCAAACATTTATTTATTCCCGAAAGGACATTGAGGTTTCTCTCATTTTTAATGTTGTTGAGATTACAGACCTCATATGATCACAGAATCAAACAATCAAACAACCAAAAAAAAACAATCAATCAATGACAACAGCAAAGGAATTAATGAAAACAGTTACAAACAGGGGAGCAATGGTCAGTAATTAAAGTCTTAAACTCTGTAAGAGAGGGAAAGGCTGTCATCTTTAAAGATTGTTAGAGGAAATTCCATGAGTGAGGGGCATTGAATGAAAATGCCAATTTATGAAATCTCAAGGAACTTTCAGAGTTAGTGAACCAGAAGAATGAGTCATGTGGGAGCAATCATAAAACTTTAACAGGTTTGTGAGGTAGGGTGGTAGCCTGTTTGTAAGGGCTTTGAAAATATACAGAAACCAGTGTTTATTTCTTCTCTGATCAAGTGATGGCCAACAAACTTTCTCATAGAGGATGCAACCACGAGTGTTGTACCTATCAGCTGTTATGAATCGCAGAGCAGAGTAGTAAACTGAGTCCAGAGGCTTGAGAGTTGAAACTCCAGCATGTCTGTATATTACATGGCTTCCACAATATTTTTACGACATGACAGTGGCAAACACGCTCTGTTTCTGTAAAGAAAACCAACTCTCTGCCGTAACTGGGTAACAAGAGTACTTATATGATGTTTGAATGTGAATTCCTCATCAAGCCATATCCCAAGATATTAAAAGTAAGTGACTCTCTCAATTCTTGATCCATTGGAAGTAGATATTTTTATGTTTTCAGATGTAACATTCCTTGCCCGGGAGAACAGCATGAATTTTGTCTTGCTTACATTAAGTACGAGTTTAAGGTTAATAAGAGACTCTTGTAGAGTGTTAAAAACAAGTTGCAGGTTGTCGATGGCAGATTGTACGGTATCTGTGACACAATAAACAATAGCATCATCTGCATAAAGATGTACATGACAATTTTGCAGATTAGCGACAACGTCATTAATATAAACAGTGAAAAGCAAAGGCTCCAAAAATGAACCCTGTGGCACTCCTCTATCTAGCAATAAAAATCTGATTTGGCTTGACCTATTTTAACACATTGAGATCTCTCAAACAAATAATCCTGAAACCATGCATGTGAAACTTCATCCAAACCAATACTGGTTAGCTTTTTTAACTGTATGAAGTGATCGACTGTGTCAAAAGCTTTCGACAGATCTACAAAGAGAGCAGCGCAGTGTTGCCTCTTGTCTAATGCAGATATTATGTCATTTGTAAATAATGTAATGGCTGAAACTGTGATGTGATTCTGTCTGAAGCCAGACTGGTGTGGATTGAGAATTGAGTGGTCTGCAAGAAAGGACTTGAGCTGATTAGTGACCAAGGATTCCAGATCTTTTGATAAACAGGATAATTTGGAGATTGGCTGATAGTTATTTAAATCCTCCTTAACACCTCTTTTATGTAGGGGAACCACATGAGCAGATTTCCACGGATTTGGAAATCTGCCTGTGGATATTGAGAGGTTGAAAATGTAGTATGATAACTTTTTTGAAATAATTGGAGCGGCCAGTTTTAGAAAGAAGGGGTGTAAGTTGTCCTCACCAGCTGAACTTCTGGTGTCTAAGGTTTGAGGAGCATGAAGCACTTCAAAGTGAGAAAAGGTTTGGAAAGAGATGGAGGAGGTGCAGTTATAAGCACTCAGACTGTCAGTTTGTGAACTCATGTTGGAATCAATGACCGGGAGGAGTCCAGGGTGTTCTTTTTCAAAGAGATTACCAGCCTCTATAAAGTGTTTATTTAAGATATAGCATATTTGGGATTGATTTGAAAGGTCTGAACTAATTTCCTTGAAATAATCTGAGGTGGTATCGAGCCAATTTAAATTAAATCACCAACAAACAGCATTTTGCTGTCAATATACTCAGAAATTAATTTAGCTAAAATAGCTACTGATTTTGGGTTGGTTGGTGGAGGTCTATACACACCAATCACTACCAGTGAGGAAGACTGGACTGGATTTTAAAGCAATAAATTCAAAACAGTTTGGTATAGTAACCATATTTAAAACAGACACAGAAAAGAGTGACTTCACATAAACTGCCACACCACCTCCCTTACCAACTTGATCTACTCTAAAATTAGTGTGTCAGACATAGCCACATCTGAGTTTGTAACAGTTTTTCTGAGCCATGTTTCACTCAGAACTAAAATATCAGGACTTTCACATAGTCTAATTTATGCATCAGGCCCCGAATATTTGAATGTATTGCACCCAAACCATTTCTGGCCCTAAAGGCATCTCTGTCAAGAGGATGCCTTGGAAAAGGGACAGGAGCAGAGGAGCAGGGCTGTGGGGTAATTACAACTAAATTTGAGACAGTGGCAATACGAATAGAGGAAACAGCAGGCTTCCAAGTGGTGATATGTGTGGTGATGGGCTCAGGGGCTATAGGCTGGTTGGTGGACACAGAGGGACTATAGCAGTCAGGGAATGTTTTTTGCTGGAAACAGTGAGGTGGTTGTAATTCCTCCTCCTGGCCATGAGAGGGAGCAGTTTACTTTATTGTGGGAAGGAGCAGATGGCTTGTGATTAGCGGAACAGAGCAGGTGAGGATGTGTGAGCAGTCAGTGCCGGGGAGAGGTCCAAATGAAGAAAAAAAAGTTGTTCGTTAGAGTGTGAGAGCCTAGACCACTGAGGTGAATGCCGTTGGGGTGGAAGAGGACCAGGCGCTTCCAGAAAAGGTTGAAATTGTCGATGAAGACATAGTTTTGGGCTGCACATGTGGATTTAAGTGTTCAATGCTGTGGCTATGTGGCGGAATTGGTCCATTGATGAAGAAGCATCGATCGTCAGTAGCAAGGAGGTCCAGGGGTGTGTTAAAGTGCTGCTTTAACACCTCAGAGGATTGATCGGAGATGTCATTGCAGCCGACATGAACTGTAACATCACGTGCGAGAGGATGACGAGCAAGGATGTTGGGGATCTTCTCCAACATGTCAGCCACCTTAATGCCAGGAAAGCAAAAGGTGGCTGCAGATGTTTTCTGGACCTTCCTCACTATCGAGTCTCTAATGATGAGTGTGGAGGGTGCTGGAGCACCCACTAGAGGTGATCCCGTGCTGAGGGATCCTCTGGGTGGCTTAGGAGGCAAGTGGGGCTATGCTACCAGCGGAGGGAAATCCTGAGGATCGAGGATGTCGAATTTGATTCCCAGCTGGATATTAAACTGCTGGGTGGTCTGTGAGCAGTGCTTGCGACCACGACCAGCCAGCATAGACCAAGGCTCTGGATGGGACAAAGTGGAGCTGACCAAAGCCATAGGTCGAGCCCCGAGAGGAGCCCACAGGTCAGCAGTGGTGGGTGGACGAGGATCAGCGGCGGGATGGTCTGCTGCTAGCCCGGCTGGGCCATCCAGTTGCGTGAATCACTTGCAGTTCATTCCCACAACAGTCTGGACTTCGGCCCATTGGGAGCGTGTATTCCCAATCAGAAAATAACCGGGCCAATCAGAGACCGTGTTTCCACTGTTACCCGGACAACAGGGAAAGGCAGCCCCTGATTGGTCCATGTGTAGATGGCGACGTCTAACACATGCTGCGGGACTTTTCAAAGCCCTGTTCATTCTGCAGTTGACTCTGCAAAGTCGGCAGAAATCGTTTATATCAGCAGAAGACGTCGGATATAAACGATTTCTGCATTGGTATGAAAATGTGCACTTGTGAATGTAGATTTTAGCCAGTATAAACAGTAAATGAACAATAAAAGCTTTTTTCTTGTGCCTTCTGTTATGTGTCACGAAACCAATAATAATGTGTTTGTATAATAAAACAAACCCCTTGTACATCTTCTCAATTACAAAATGAGAAAAGTCATTTCAAGATTGTTTTCTGTGGCAACAGTGCCAAAATAAATGAGACAATATCTCAGGGTGCAGCGAACAGAAAGAACAACTACAATCCATATCCTTTTTAGATTTGTACAATTTGTAAAATTTTCTAGGATTTTTCCTTAATATTGTTGGTAAGTAAATACTGACAAAGTCATCTAGCACGCTTTTGTACAAAGTGATGTACAAAAGAATTACACTCCAGAGGAGGACATACAGTGGGAGCAAGGAGGGTGAAGTGTCTTACCCAAGGATACAATGAACAGACTAGGGATAGGGGGGAATCGAACCGCCAACCTTCCAGTTGTTGGAACCTCCACCAGGAACCCGGTGACCAGCCCCTGCAACCACAGCTTACCACTGCTCCTGGTGCCGAGGGCTCCCTCATAGGAAACACTGGGGGTCCTAAGAAAGATAAAAGTATGAAATACAAGTAAAATAAGAATAAAACACAGACCTAAAATAAACCTGAGCTAACTAGAATTAATGAAGATAAAACTAATATTAATTAAAAGCTAAGCTAAAAAGGTGGGTCTTGAGCCTGCTCTTAAAAACATGAACGTTCTCTGCGGCCCTGAGGTCCCCTGGCAGGCTGTTTCTTAGACAAGGGCCATAATATTGAAAAGACGCCTCGCCATGAGTGTGTGTCCTGACTTTTGGAATGACTAGGAGCCTGCTGCCAGAGGAGTGCAGGGTCCGTGAAGGTTCAGTAGGTAAAAGCAGCTCTGAAAGATAAGAAGGCCCAAGACCATCAAGACATTTAAAAACAAGTAAAAGAACATTAAAGTCGATCCTAAAACACACAGGGAGCCAATGCAATGATCCTAAAACTGGTGTAATGTGGGTCCGCCTCCTGGTCTTAGTCGGGACACGTGCTGCTTAATTTTTGTTATGTTCTTCATGTGTGGACTAAAAGTCAGCTCAAATTCAAAAATGATGCCCAGGTTTCTTACTTGTGGTGATGGATTAAGAGACTCTGCTTGTAGTTTGGGTAAAAGTTTCTCTCTCTGGGCCTCAGGACTGATGACTAAAACCTCAGTATTGTCCTGGTTAAGCTGGAGAAAGTTTTCTGCCATCCAGGATTTGATATCTAAAATGCAGTTAAAAAGAGCATCCATTGGCCTGGTGTCATCAGGAGACACAGAGATGTAGAGCTGCGTATCATCAGCGTAGCTTTGGAAGTTCATTCCTTGTCTTCTGGTGACACCGTCAAGAGGGAGCATGTACAGGTTAAAAACTCAGGGCCTAAAATCGAACCCTGGGGTACACAACATGTGATTTTATAGACTTTTATAGACTCAATATTAAACCTATTTTGAGCTTTTTGAATTCTAGGTTTAAAGTTGAGGTGACAACTCTCTGCTGGTTTTTAGTTATAACAATACCCAAATAGTTTACTTTTGAAAATATGAAAATGACTCACATTTAACGAGACTTAGATACAGACCTGAGGCTTTAGAAAATATAGCCTCTTTTTTGTTGATGGCTGTTTTTTCCTCCAGAGCATCTTTCAAGAAAAGAACAGTGTCATCAGTTAACTGACTCATTAAGATCTCTCTGTCAGCAATAGAGATGCCCTTTGACTTACTCGACTTAATATTATGACTGAACATTTGGGTAACAAAAAAAAAGATAACAGATATAAGATACAGAGCAGCACTGTCTGACCCTCTCTCTCGGTTTTACTGAACTATTAGCTCCATAATGTTTTCATTACATTACAGACGTAGGGCCCAAAGCCAAACTTTTGAATGCATGAAAAATATAATGGATGCTCAGCTGTGTTAAAGGCTTTAAAAAAGTCTAAAAAGGGTAAAACTGTCTTCCTGGATGAGATTCGAGTGGTCTTTAAGGTCAAAAACCAGCCTAATGTCATTGAAGATATGTCTCTTGCTCATAAAACCAGACTGGTTTTCTTCTACAGTGGAATAAAGAACATTTTAAGAACAATTAAGAACACTTAAAAATCTTTTTTCAAAAATAAGACAAAAAACTTCATAGTCATTATTTGATGACGTAATTGGCCTCCAATTAATGATAAAAACAGACCCTTGTTTGGTTTTGGTATCAAATTATTCAGACCTTAGGTCATGCTAACTGGGAGAGTAGCTTTTTCAATACTTTTGGAGAAACCCTATGAAGAAATGGAGCCAGTAGATCAGGAAATTCTTCATAAAACTCTGAAGTGAGGCCGTCAGTACCTGGTGCTCTGTTATTTTTGAGCTGAGAGCTGGCCATCAGCACCTCCTGCTGTTCTAGTGGGAAATCACAGCTAGACCTCTCTTCTTCCAATATGTATTTACAGATTGTACATCTTCAAAAGGGTAGAGTATATAGTTTGGATTAAGCTTGTTTCAAACAAGGACAAGACAGTATTTATGGCAATATTTGGAAATGCTCCTCTTATTATCCTTGACAATTCCATTAATACCCAATTGAAGCATAGTGTTATGTTTGGCATGTGTTTTTTCTAATTAAAAAAAATAAGAGGACATCTGTTCTTCTTTAAACCATTTCTGTTGGGATCGGACAGAGGCTCCTTTTGATTTACTTTTACATATATCATCCAGATTTTTCTGGTAATTTTAATTTCTCTTCAGTAGATAAATCATCTGGGGTCTTGCTCAACACTTGTGATTCATAAAAAAAAATCATAAAAATTCAACACAGTGATGTAATTTGTGATACATATTTCCGCCTGGATTTAGCCAGATCAGATCTATATTTCCTTAAGAATTTCCCAATTTCGAACTTGAAAAGTTCCTCATATCTTCCTTTCCCCCCTCTATTTGATATTAGTTCCAGTAAAACCTTTTTAATTTAAACAGATTTTGCTTGATATTGCTGTGCTTTCATAATGAGCTGTTTAGCTTCCAATGAGAGTGGCAATTTGCTTCTCCTGTTCCTGAGAAGAAATTGTATGAATAATAACTGCCTTGTGATCTGTTACGGGGATAGATAGGACATCAACTGTAATATTGTCCTTACATATTGAGTTAGACACCAGCCAGTAGACTAAACGGGATTGTCTAGAACCATCCTTGTTACTCCTAGAATAGACTCTAGTGTATGGACATGCATCTCGCTGCACATTAGTTGAATCATATTTGGTAATTAGATATTTTACTTGGATTAGATGGTCTTCCAGGGGGCCACCAAACAATAACCTCATTCATTACTACATTAAAAAGGAAAAGAAGTGTACACTTTTAATTATTTCTAATTTGCCTCTGTCAATCTAGCATTAAGCATCTAGCATTTTTCCTTCTCTACCTTCCATGGTCATCCTCTCCTCTTCAGATGTTTCTGCAGCTTACCCCCTGGGAAAACTGAGTCCCTTACACAGGACATCTTAATTGGCTCCTAAAGTGGATTCACAAGAGGAGTAATTTCCTTATGCATGCATGAGAAACTAGGAATTCAACGAGTCTACAGTTGGTGCTAATTTCTTTCTTTGTGCCAACCACTTCAGACTACGACCCACTTCAGACTACGACCAAATAAAGCTGCACACTGAAGGCAAGAGAGTAGGAAAGCATTAAAATTTGAACAGACCCTTGTAGAGACATGAATACAAGTCTACTGAGTGAGTCAGATGTACCAGTTTTGTCACACCAGGTGATTTAAACAGCTCAAATGTTATTCTTCCAAACCCCTGCACACACAGAGCAAAAGAAAAAACAAAAAATGGCAACATTAGCCATTCTCCACCATCACTCAAATAAGACCATTTTCACACAGCATTCTTTCACAATTAGGTCTGAAGTCAGATAAATGATCTCTTGTAAAGCAAGGCCTAATAAAGGACAAATGTAGCTACCTTCACCGTAGAGCATCAAACACATAGCACTCTATATTTAAAGCCATGCTACATAGTCATGTGTTTAACCACCAGGTTTTACCATTGATTTAGCCTTGACATGCTTTTCAATTCCCCTCCCTGAAGACATTAAAGTGCTGTGGGTCAAAGAAAACTGCATGTGTTTTGATGGTTAAAAAAAAAACAAATAAAAAAACTTCTGAACCTTTATTTTTATCTATGCATAAAAACCCACACCATTGTTAAGGGTGCTTCTGCTTTACAGCAGCTCAGCGAGGATGTGAACCAAGCATCTTCACAATCACACACACACATAAACTCAGTGGCAGGAAATGAGGAAGTGAGGTGTGGTCCGATGGTTTCAGAGTTAAAAAAACACAGCTGAAAAGACAAAAACAGGATCCTGACTTCACTTCAACAAACATTTGAATATTTTTGTTTTTTATTAAATAATGATTTTATCAAAATTACATCTTATTTACAGTGAACATTTTGCTTGAAATCAGAGTGGCTAGCATGCATATTGCACTAATTGCATTGTGCTGCAAATGTAGATTAAACACAACATAACTGCAGGTTTGGTCTTACCAAAGCAGGTCATCTATAAAGTACAAGAAACTTTACAACAACAAAATATCTTCTTAGAATGTAAGAGAATAAATCAATATACACAAACATTAATTTAGGAAATGTATACACTGAAAAGAAGTCAAGCTTTTTTCTTTTATTTGACTTCTGTGTGTCCATTATTGAGTTAAATGAGAACTTTGAAGAAACTTAGAAATGTCTGCCCCTTATTCATTTCCCTCCTTGATCCTACTAAAAAAATCTTGTGAAAAGACTGGCAACTTTAACCCAGAGCTGATGTTTCATAGTAGCAGAAGAAGTGAAACACTGCAGAAACTACACAGCCAAAAAATAAGGATTTGTCTCTGTGCGTGTGCTGACAAATATTCCGTTTATTTCAACAGCGCTCCAACTGACAGTCTTTCTAAAACTGACAGAGAGGGCATCAAAAATGAGTCACTGTTTTTTCCCCTTTGACCCTGTAAAGCTCAGTCTGTAAAAAGAGAAGTGGAAAGAGAAGTCCTCATTTTAGACTCAGCATTCACCGTCTGAGTCTAGCCGCCGGCACCTTGACTGCAGCATTAAGAAGAACCAAATCCCTCTCTGGAGAAGAATTATAAATGTCCATGAAGGGGCTAGTGGACTGCTCAGTCCTGGGGGGCTTGGTTTATCACCTTCTTCTTTTTCACTGAGACCAAGTCGTAGAAAGGATCCTTGGTGATACTTGCTCTGTTTGGAGGAAAAAGAAAAGAAAGTTATTAAGTGGTCAGTGCAAGAGTATTTGTGTGTGACTTAAAGGCAATATGATGAGTTTTTGACTGACTGCTCAACAGTCTGAAACTGATACTGACACCTCTGTATGACTGTTAAAACCAAATAAGACTACCAGCAACAAGACAGATATTGTCTCTGTTGTATTTTTAAACTGGGTGTAGAATCAGATGATTGACAGTGTGCTGAAGACACAGCCCATTTTCACTCTTTTATAGCAAGTCCTCACAGAGAGGGATAAATTGACTTAAATGTTGATAGATTTATGATTTGATGTAGAAGAAGAAGAAGAAGAAGAAGAAGAAGAAGAAGAAGCAGAAGAAGAAGAAGAAGAAGAAGAAGAAGAAGAAGAAGAAGAAGAAGAAGAAGAAGAAGAAGAAGGTTATTTCAACTTTGTAAATGTCATACTTTCATGAAATCCTATTCAGTACTATGCATTTTACTTTGTTTTGTAACATAAAAAAGTCCTCACAGATGCTTTCTTAGTTAGTTCAGACAAAACCAGAACCAAAATACTCCCAGACTCAATGCAAAGACCATTTCTTGTTATATTTGTGTCTGAATAACCTGTTAATGTGATGTACCCAAACCAAAGGGTCTGGTGTTTCTTTAACAGGTAAAAGTTATCATGCATGTGTTGAAATATAGTTGTCAAAACTGCTGCCGCTTTTTTTTTTTTTTAACATCCTGTGTATCACAGCGCATGTCTACATCTGGATGTGGTTTCAAGCAGAGGAGGCCACACCTGACTTCACCCAGCTGTGATGTTGGGTGTGGACTGTTTTCAAGACTGATTTGTACCTTAAAAAACCACAGAGGTAAATGCTGCAGTGCTTTCACATCAGCCTACTATCAAAGTAGAGGTGATACACATTCATATCAGAGTATTCATATTCAACATGAAGTCTTGACATTAATCTCCTTTTCAATTTCAGACCCTGAAAATAACAGAAGCACAGTTATGAGGTCCTGTCCTCCATAACTTTCCTGTTAAAATCCCACTGACACTGTGTTGCAGGTTGAGGCTTCTTTGTGCCTATTTTCTTCAATCCGGTAGCTGTCTCTTTGGCTCGGCTTCTTATGTGTTTCATGTTCTGCGTGTGTGCGTGTGTGTTTGGATATAAATATATTCAAATATATGTATTTGTTTGTGTTGGTGCGTGTGGGTGGTCAGTCAAACCTGATGGCCTCGATCCAGGAGTCTCTCTCCTCTGCGCTAGCTGCACAGATGGTGTAGGACTGGTGCTTCCCCTCCACCACTCTGCCGTCTGTCTCTGTTTTGCATGCTTTGATCTTCTGCCCGCGGCTGTTTGGGTTGTACAACTCCAGACAGTACTAGATGACACGAGAGCAACATGTTGATCAACGTCTGAGTCTTGTTTTCCATCTGACATAAGTGTTACATTCAAAGTCCTCCCCATTGCTAACAGAGCTGTTACAATAACAGTAGACAGTATCTTACTGGTTTACGAGGGTATGGCACTTCTCTTACACACAGGTTCTCCAGAGGGATGATGCCTCTGGGCTCTTTATCCTGTAGAAAACAAAACCAAAAGAAATCAGGAGTGGAAGAAAAAAAAATTATGAAGTCTAAAATAATCATTTTGCAGGTGTGAATGTTGCTCAAACCTCAAAGTATCCATTGTTTTAAAACAAACGGGCCCAGTTGTTAACTGGGTAGTGGCTAAATGCTAACATTAGCAGCTATGAGGCTGTCATCCATGTTCTTGTAACTTCAAATATGGTTTAGTCTCTCTTTCGCTCGCTACGTGGCTTCATGTTAATCAGGGACAGTGAAATGAAGAATTTGTCCTATTTATACAAGATGGACAGCTCTGAGTTGCATAGCCTAAAAACCACTCAGTCGTTAAATAGGGGAGTGTTTAAAGATGGTCTAAGTTAAAGCTCTTACAGTGGTGAACTCAAAGTAGTAGAGGCAGCTGTCGGTTAGGATGAACCACCTTCTTTTCCACGTCTTAACCCGACCTCCTGAAACACAGGTAAAGCAAATGTTAAGATGTGAGTGTAGAGCTATTAATGTCAGGAAACTAACAAGCTTTTAAAAGTTACGCAACAGCACAGCTAGCTGACCGTAATGCAGAGCTTGGTGGTTATTTCGTCTGCAGTAACTTCTTCATAACCTCATGTGCTGTGGTTTGCATGCAAACTTATGTGGGTATATTCCATTATTGGTTCATTGTCTGACTGCTTCCTCCGTGCTTTCCTGTTTTTGGTCTCATGTTGTAGCTTGAAGTAATACACTGAAACATCTTCTGGTCAAAATTTTGCCTATGCTTTTCAATGGCATCCAAAGAGATTGATTTGTAGAGGTGTTTTACCGAGTTTGAGGAGCCAGCCCTCTCTGTCTGGGTTGAAGAAGGTGTGTGTCAGATCATTCCCATCATCCTCTGGGATTTTGAATGGCTCGTTGTGAATGCTCTCGTACAGTTTCTGAGTGTAAAGAGGCAGAAATGTTTTTTGTTTTTTTTTGTTTTTTAAATGCAGCACAGCACCTCATGCACAACCATGTCAAGAGTGACACTGAGTCATCTGTTTCTGCTCGAGTTGGACGCCAGTGAGTTTAGCCCACAGCTTGTGACACTGTTAATACCCTACACAGACCACTGATAACTCTGACTGACCCGTGGGTGGAAGCTGAGCCTGAGAATGAGCTGGCTGTGGTTATGTGTGTGTGTGTTTCTGTTCCATGTAGTGTGAGGGTCGTGAGATAATGTTTCCAAAGCAGGAAAGTGACAAACAGAAGACCTGTAGGCAACTGCAAATGGTGGAGATGAAAAGAGGTGATTTAAAACAAGAAAGTGACTAAAGGAGATCTTTAAGGTGAACTGAAAGTCCATATTTTCCATGTTGCACATACATTTGTTACTCAAAATACAAGTAATGCATTCCTTTAAACTGGACAAGAGGACAAACTGGACAAATCAGTAATACTGCTTCTAACTGAAATAGTAAAGCAAACAAGACTTTCGAGGAGAAGATTGCTTAACTCTACACATTTCTCACTTTCAACTTCAGGTGAAGATGAAATTTTCAACCACAAAGTTCTTGATGTATCATAAATACAAAAATGATCAAGCACAAGTTTTTTTGTAATATAATTTTGTACTGAACATGAACAAACAAGCAATTAGAGGTCAACTATTGTCCAAAGAGGTGGGCCAAAATCAACACAAACTAAAAGTTCCCCACAGGAGCTTTAAAACTTTAACTACTGGGTGCTAAAGCAGCTGAGCCTGAGAATGAGCTGGCTGTGGTTATGTGTGTGTGTGTTTCTGTTCCATGTAGTGTGAGGGTCGTGAGATAATGTTTCCAAAGCAGGAAAGTGACAAACAGAAGACCTGTAGGCAATTGCAAATGGTGGAGATGAAAAGAGGTGATTTAAAACAAGACAGTGACTAAAGGAGATCTTTAAGGTGAATTGAAAGTCCATATTTTCCATGTTGCACATACATTTGTTACTCAAAATACAAGTAATGCATTCCTTTAAACTGGACAAGAGGACATTAGGGACTGAGCTTAGAGCCCCCACCCCACAAAAAGAAGAACAAGTCAAAGAAATTAATCAGTATAGCTGTAGTTCCCACAAAACGACTGCTTAGTTTTGAGGAAGGGTTAGTCCTCTGTATTAGCTTTTATCCCTGACAAACTTGTGTTTTAAATGTTTCATTATCACAACAGGGTATCCTTGTGTGGACCATTACTTGCTGTTTTAATGATTTGAAACAGTGCAAAGCTCTCAAACAGTGGTATGAGCTTGTCTATATTTAAAGCAGGATTAAAAAAGGATTTCATAAATAGACTGTAGAAATGATCATCATTTATCTCAAATTAAGAAAAGATGGCCACTTTTTCTGACACCTTGGATTTTTTGAGGGGTTCTGTGGTTGGCTGGTGTTTCTCACCGAGAGGAGGTCATCAGGTAGGTTCCCTCCATTGTTTATTCCTCTGTTCATGGAGATGAAGCGCTCTAGAGTGGTCTTGTCCTTCACATTGGGGTTGTGCAGGCTGGTGTTGAGCATGATGATGGCAAATGACAGGATGTAGCACGTGTCTGGATTTGCAGAGGAAATGATCACATACGAAACATAAGAGGAAGTAATGCAATGATCATCAGATTCTAGGAAATGTAGTTCACATAAATTTAGAGTGAGTAAAAAATAAGCTAAAAAAGAAACGGAGGAAATGAAATCTTACCATATGCATCTCATGAACACAAATTTCCTCACACACAAACATGTACTGTACTAAAAGGCCTGCCTGATCAACAAGATAGAATTACTGAGGCTCACCGATCGACTGAAAAACGTGAGTGTTGCAGTCACAGTAGCGTGTAGCAAAGGCCTCCATCATTCGGTCAATTTTCTGGGCTTCACCTGGTAGACGGAAGCTCCACAGGAACTGTCTGTCACAGGCAGATAAAATCAGCATTAACCTCAGCATGTAGAAGAAATAAGTGACTGTATACTGCATGTATCACGGAAATATTGACATTGGTTTTTGGGGTGGACTTCTGAAGCCAACCTAACTTTATTTGACCTAGCAAACAGGCAAAGAGATGGAGCTAGAGCCAACCTTTATCCCCCTAGCAAACAGCTGCACTTTGACCACTTGCCAATCATAATTTATGTGTTTATGTTTTCCATCACTGTTTAGCAAATCCCAATGTATGGCTTTTAAGTATTTAAAGCTTCTGTGAGAAGTTTTTAGGTTGTCACAGTACAGAATGAAAATGAAACTGATGCCACTGTATGGGTCACAAAAGCAAAAAAAGTACACTGGCACAAAGATTTATCTCTTTTTAAAGTGGTTTTTTTTTTTAATGCCCGTAACTGCTGGCATTAAGGGGTAGGTGCCAGTTGTAGAGTTTAAAGCTCCTGTAAGGATTTTTTTTCTGGTCATGAAAACACTCAAATCAGTAATACTGCTTCTAACTGAAATAGTAAAGCAAACAAGACTTTCGAGGAGAAGATTGCTTAACTCTACACATTTCTCACTTTCAACTTCAGGTGAAGATGAAATTTTCAACCACAAAGTTCTTGATGTATCATAAATACAAAAATGATCAAGCACAAGTTTTTTTGTAATATAATTTTATACTGAACATGAACAAACAAGCAATTAGAGGTCAAGTATTGTCCAAAGAGGTGGGCCAAAATCAACACAAACTAAAAGTTCCCCACAGGAGCTTTAAAACTTTAACTACTGGGTGCTAAAGCAGCTTGATTTCACATTTTCCTGTTAATTTTACTGCTAAAAAAGGCACTGTAAAATTTTAAAAAAGGTGAAAAAAATTGAATTTTGAGAGTTGTTTAAGGGACAATATCAGGACAGTGGACAGAGGTGCTGCTCTGTCCACAAGAGGGTACCAGGATCAACACAAATAAAAATCCTCCGATTTAAATTTAAAGGTGGGCACTTTTTCTGTGGGTCCTACACTTCCCATGATGCAACATCCTGTAGTTTTTATTTGAATCCCCATTCCTGATATTTCACTCACACTTTTCAAACCTCTAACCCCTAGCTTGTTATGGGACTTCCCATTAGTAATCACTGGGCTCTGGTCAAGTGCAGAGATAACCCTGATGTCATTGACTGTATGTCAGTTTCCTCTTTCTGATGAACACGTCCACAGTCATAAACTTTATATTGAGATAAATTCCCCCATGGAGGAAAACAAATGGCCTTTTAACATCTTAGACTGACTCAGATGTTACTGTTTGTCTTTCCGCAGATGTGACTGCTGATGTTTCTATGGCAACAGCAGCCTCCTCTCTGAATCTGTTCAGAAACCCACCAAAGTTTGTGGCAAGAGTGTGTCTGTGGGAATGGGTGGTACCTGACTGTAATCTACACTCACCGGCCACTTTATTAGGTACACCATGCTAGTAACGGGTTGGACCCCCTTTTGCCTTCAGAACTGCCTCAATTCTTCGTGGCATAGATTCAACAAGGTGCTGGAAGCATTCCTCAGAGAGCTTGGTCCATATTGACATGACGGCATCACACAGTTGCCGCAGATTTGTCGGCTGCACATCCATGATGCGAATCTCCCGTTCCACCACATCCCAAAGATGCTCTATTGGATTGAGATCTGGTGACTGTGGAGGCCATTTGAGTACAGTGAACTCATTGTCATGTTCAAGAAACCAGTCTGAGATGATTCCAGCTTTATGACATGGCGCAATATCCTGCAGAAAGTAGCCATCAGAAGTTGGGTACATTGTGGTCATAAAGGGATGGACATGGTCAGCAACAATACTCAGGTAGGCTGTGGCGTTGCAACGATGCTCAATTGGTACCAAGGGGCCCAAAGAGTGCCAAGAAAATATTCCCCACACCATGACACCACCACCACCAGCCTGAACCGTTGATACAAGGCAGGATAGATCCATGCTTTCATGTTGTTGACGCCAAATTCTGACCCTACCATCCGAATGTCGCAGCAGAAATCGAGACTCATCAGACCAGGCAACGTTTTTCCAATCTTCTATTGTCCAATTTCGATGAGCTTGTGCAAATTGTAGCCTCAGTTTCCTGTTCTTAGCTGAAAGGAGTGGCACCCGGTGTGGTCTTCTGCTGCTGCAGCCCATCTGCCTCAAAGTTCGACGTACTGTGCGTTCAGAGATGCTCTTCTGCCTACCTTGGTTGTAACGGGTGGTTATTTGAGTCACTGTTGCCTTTCTATCAGCTCGAACCAGTCTGGCCATTCTCCTCTGACCTCTGGCATCAACAAGGCATTTCCGCTCACAGAACTGCCGCTCACTGGATATTTTTTCTTTTTCGGACCATTCTCTGTAAACCCTAGAGATGGTTGTGCGTGAAAATCCCAGTAGATCAGCAGTTTCTGGAATACTCAGACCAGCCCTTCTGGCACCAACAACCATGCCACGTTCAAAGTCACTCAAATCACCTTTCTTCCCCATACTGATGCTCGGTTTGAACTGCAGGAGATTGTCTTGACCATGTCTACATGCCTAAATGCACTAAGTTGCCGCCATGTGATTGGCTGATTAGAAATTAAGTGTTAACGAGCAGTTGGACAGGTGTACCTAATAAAGTGGCCGGTGAGTGTAGATCACATGTCATGTTATGTAACAGTGATAGGATTGGAGACCCTGACAGGAAGACGTGAAGATATTTTCAAATCAAATGTTGTATTTTTGATTATTTTAGTATTTTTATCACTTAAAGTTGGTTTAATATGAAACAGAGGCTAAATGCATTAGCAATAAAGAAATTCTAAACATTATTCTTAAAAATGCTGGACATTTTCAATTTTGACAGCAGAAATTTGTGTTTAACTTGTTTATTTTAGTGACCTGGTTAGACTTACATTTCTTAGTAATATGTTTTGAAAGGTAAAGGTAAGCTGAAGTGACTGGATGGGTTTGGATCAAATCTAGATAACATGTTTTGAAAAGGACAAGAATAAATCATCTTAGTTATGTTTATATCAAGGTAGAGGGTAGGGTTCAGCTACAGAAACAACTTCTTTCAACAGTTTCCAGATTAAAACAAAAAAATCATGATTAATGAAACTTTTGACTGTCAAGAGGCTGAGATTATAAAGTAGAGGACAAGATTACAGAAATACTGTTTGGTCAACAGGGGGTGCCGACATTGACTCAAACTGAAAGTTTCTCGCAGTAGCTCTAAGGAAGTGCTTTAAAGACACCAGTGGCATTACCATATACCCTTTATCTAAGGACACTAGTCACACGTACAAGTGGAAATGAGGCGTCAAAACTGGATCATTTGATCCAATTTACTTTCTCTTTGGAAAAGCTATGACGCCAGTAGACTGGACTTCCAGATCCTGGACATCATAAAAGTCAACAACCAATTCTGGATCATCCATGACACCACGACAATCAAGATCGTAAGTCATGAAGAAGACATAAAGAACCCCATACCTGAGGGCCTGGACCAGGTTGAGGTCTGAGAACTCATGGAGCTCCACAAAGGCCTTCAGTGTCTGCAAGTGGAGCTCATCCCTGTGGGACAGAAAAGAAAAAAAAACACAGGATTTAAATTTTACTCTTTCTAACTTGCTGTCACATTTTCTTCTGAAATGTTCACCAGTTTTCAGATGCTCCATTTGGCTCCTTCACCTCATCAGTCTCCAAAAGGAGTTCTCTTTTCCTTCTGTTCTTACTCTTTTACCTCTATTCTCCTTGTATTTACATCGTTCCTTTAGCCTCATCCATGTCAGTTTATCCTCCCTCACCTTTTACCCTTAACTTGTTTTCCTCCTCCTTTCCTTCCTCACCTTTCTCCAAGAAATTCTCCAATAGCCGTCTTGTTCAGCCCCTCTTCTTTGTAGAGGAACTCGGCGATGGACTGAGCACTCCCATCCAGCAGCTTGTTCTCTACCAGGAAAGTGATCCCCTGCGCGCGCGCACACACACACACACACACACACACACACACACACACACACACACACACACACACACACACACACAAAGTGGGTTGTTTATGTTGGTATATTTTTGTACTTCCTTTTTTTCTGTTTTCATAGCTTGTTTTCTGCATGTGAAAACTGCATTTTGTGTTTCAAAGTGCTGAAGACACACACCCTGCGCTGTGGTTTAGTGCATCTCGTTTAACAATGATCTCATCTCCTCTTGGTCTGATTAAACAAACTCGCAGTTTCTGTAATCCCAATTCCTCAAAACGAATTTCTCTTCCCCTTTCTCCTCCATAGCAGCCTTCTGAAAGGACTGGAGGGTTTAAAATACATCAGCTGTGGGCATAAAACAATAAAAACTCATAGAAATACACGTCACATTTCCCCTTTATGTGCAAAGAGGGAAAAAAAGTCTAATTTCTTTAAAACTGCATATGTGTCGTTTTTGCCCAAAAATAGGAAAAGAAGACATCTTCAGCTATGAAGAAATAAAAATATGTAGTAATTGATAAAACAAAAAAATTCTGTAAAATATCCAATCACATCTCATATCATCTTTTATACCGGTCAGGACAATTTTTTAAAGTAACATTGACCAGAGGGATGAAAATCACAAAAACTTTGTCGCGTTTTGCTTTTTTTTTTCTCCTGTCACATAAACATGTACTTAAATCTACATTACGCCATTTAAACTCTTCTCCTGCATTTGTAATACTCTGGGATGACAATTTTGTATATCAAACCTAACAGAGTTTTACAGTCATTTTAAATGTATATTAATAGAGGTTTGGGAACTTTTTTAGACCATAAAATCCCATGGACTAACTTTGTATTAGATACAATATGTATCAGATATTTGTATTATGTTCAAGGATGCTCAGTCATATCATAACAGTACTTGTATACATCCTACCCAAGGCAACAGCTGAAATTCTATGTGATGTCCTCCATGAAACATTTGCTAGAATACAGACTCAACATCCTGTTTAAAAACAAACCATCAAACAAACAAACAAACAAACAAAAACAGTGGTGGACAGCTCCTCTATCTTTCAGAGTCAGAAGTTATTTTGTACACACAGCCATCACAATGAAAAGTAAATGAGATGAGATTCCAGACGAAGGAATTTCCCTTTGGGGATCAATAATGTTTGTATTGTTTTGTATTGTTTTTCTGCTCTTTTCATTCATGAATCTATCGTAGGAACTGAGGAGGCTAGATTGTGGACTTCTGAAAGTGAGTGTCATCCCAGTCATACTTTAAGGCCCCCTTTGTTGTACTTTTTGTTTCTTAATTTGACAGATGTTTCCAGACAGGGCACCTGGAACCTTCTACTACTGAGCCATGTGGTTGAATGTGGAAGGTCTCCCTTCAAATAGCATTGTCAGGATGGCAGCATATGTTGCTCCAAAACCTGCAAATGTATCATAAAGGATAACCGGAGCTTATCAGATGTGCAAGCTTCCCATGGCTTGACACTTCTACTTCCTTTATTTAACTTTTATATAACCTGTTGAGATTAAAAACCTCCTTTTTGAACAGAGATCTGGCCAAGGCAGCAGGAGAAAAAACACAAAATTGCAGATACATACACACAGGAACTACAATACCATTCACAAGCACCAAAATTTGCAGAAGAGAAACTATATCTAAGATTTAGATGTGCAACCAGGTAAGCTATGCATCCTCATACAATTATATATCCTGACTTTTTAACTGTGGGCTGATGACAAGCTAGATTGCCCTCTTCTCTGTAAGGCAGAGGATGTGGTGTCCAAGATCCAAGATTCCGAAAAGAATGCCAAGTCTTGATTTGTCTCTCACACATACACACACACACACACACACACACACACACACACACACACACACACACACACACACACACACACACACACATATATATATATATAGTAAGCAAAGTAGCCCAACCACACAAGACTTTGTTATTAGCCTCTGAAGTCTGGTTGTAACATGCAGTAACCCCAAAACATCAGCCAAAGGTCAGTCTTCTTCCAGTAAGAATAGTGATGATAATGCTTTTACTTTGTGTTAATGCTGCAAACATTTCTGTCCCTTACAGAAACCAAGCATGACGTGACACTGAAACCACAGAAAGCAGCTTTGTGAAACGGCTTCACTGTCAACTCACTGACTCATACCCTCTTCATTGTGGTTAAGATGGAGGAAGTCGACAAACTCAGAGACAAGAGCTGCACGCTAAACCCTGCATTAGTAACAAAACGTCATTTCTAACCAAATGCAGTCTTTATAGTGTTAGTTTGGCTTGATGATGTCCACACTAAGTGGTCATAGTTTAACAGTACACTCCCGAACTCACCTTCTTTGGGTCCATGTTGAATTTCTTCTTCCCATTTGAGAACCGTTTGTCCTTTTCTATGGTCTTACTGCAGGAAAAGCAAGACTTGGTTAAAAACTCTTATATCTAGATTTGATATTCAGAAATGGACTTCACTGAACCAAATTCTGAAGAGGAAAGTTTTAGATAATGAAATCAAAATGTTTTTAGTCATTATTTATTCAAAATGCTTTCTGTCCCTCAAGAGTCTCGAATAATTGTTCAGGAATTGATAGATTCACTCTCCTGCACTCTACAACGTTCTGTCTGTGTTCGCCAAGGCTACATTTGTTTTCTTCAACTTCCTCATCTGTCTGTGGGGTGGGGGGAAGGTGGGAAATCTAGGCTCAATCCCCCAGTGACCTCAAATCCAGGGAACACCCCTGTATAGCACGCTCACAAACAGAAACTTTCATAACTGCATTTCCCTAAGTGTCCACTTGAGGCTGTCTGCAGAGGCACCAGAAACCACTTAGTCCAGTGGTTGCTGCTTAGTTTGGACATGAAAGACTTTTGGCTAATTAGCATAGCTTATCTTAACTTCCCATATAGATCAAAACGAATTGAAACAGCTCTGCAACAAGATTTGAAACAGTCCTTAATGTAAAAACAAAGAGTAGAACTGTTAATGGAAAGATGGATTTTAGTGCAAACTGCTGATATATTATGAAAATTGATTGACAGATTGATTGATTTCAAACAGCATTTAAGTGTTACTTCAATACAATGGATTTAATGCAAAATATATGTCAACCCAAATGAGTCAGCACCAAAGAAAAGCAGTTAAAGTTGATTTAGCCCAACAGAAATATCATTTTATGTATCACTGAGGACACATTTCCTCCCTTAAGGCTTTTTTTGTAGATTTTCTTGAATAAATAAAATGAAAAAAAAAAAAGTTTTCTTGAACTTCATCTTTATAAAAATCTATATTTAGTTTCAAAAACTTGTGGTAAAGGAGTAATCAGGAGGTGGATGTTACACAGGTAATAGTGAAACTGAATCCTCTGTGAAAGTGAAAGGTTTGTGGGAGCTTTTTGATGTTCTTTCTGAAAGAGGTTTTGGATAAAAGAATAACTGGTGTGTTACAGAGGCATGAGGGGCTCTCAGGATTAATACTCACTTTTCCTCTGCAGACTCAAAGCTGAGTATTTCTGCCATGACGTTGTCAATCTCCATCTTTAATTTCTGGATGAGGCAGAAAAAAAAAAGTCCTCAATATATGTTTTCCTGTCTCCTAAAAGAAATTAAGAGATGTATACGTAAAACCTGTTTGTACCTGGATGTCATCTAAAAGGTCCTTCTTATACGTCTTGATGCTCTCAATCTCCATCTTCTCGTCTGCTGTGAAATCTGAGGAAACTGAAAAAATAAAATAAAATAAAAATAAAAATTGCAAAATAGGAGTTAAATGAAGGAAATGTGAAAAGTCCTCTAACAAATTTGTTGGTCTGTATTTGTACCTGTAACTAGTTTTATTGTGGTTTAATGTAAAAAAATAAGTCAAGCATAAGGAAGGGAGATTTCCCTAGATACAGGCATGTCCAAACTATTCCACAAAGAGCTGGTGTGGCTGCAGGTTTTTCTTCCAATCCAATCAAGAGCACGCAGTCTGACCAATCAGCTGTCTGAAGACTGAGCTCAGCGGATGAAATGAATCAAGGCTGGTGTGCTGCTGCTTGGTTGGAAGAAAAACCTGCAGCCACATGGCCCTTTGTGGAATAGTTTGGACAAGATGAGTGAGACAGGTGGTGTGGTTTTCACTGGAAAGATATCTGTAACCACCAAATATGACCTCAAATACTATTTATAAAGAAAAAAAAAAAAGAAGAGGATGTGAGCATGCAAACAGCTTGGTTGCTGTGTGGAGGGATATTCCCATTTGTCAATAGTCACACTGATACACTCCCACATTAAAGAGATACACGGTGAATCAAAGACATTCTACAGTCATGCAAGCTCACTGCAAACTACTTCAGAGCTGCTTGGTGACAAATAACGTATCCAACAACATACTCAACATCAATTCAGCACGGTTTGACTCATTTGATTCAGTTTCTGAAAATATAAAAAAAAGGGAAAAAAAAAGATCACTGACCCCAAAGACTAGTTTAAACAAGAAGTTTATTTAAAGACCCACTCTGATGTAAATCGTGTTTTTCTTGCTGTCTATAGGCCTATGGCATTTTTCTGATGCTACAGGACATGTCATGAGCGAACAAAGTGTGAAATTGCATTTCTGATTATTTCTGCATTCAAATCGCTGTGAATCTCTGGCAGACCCAATCGACAGGTTCAGACAGTGAGATTTCCTACGTAGCAAATCCAAGCTCCGCCCCAGGAGCCCTGCTATGCGGGCCAGACTTGGAAACACGGAGAGGACGATCATAGAACAAGTGTGCGTGAGTGGATTGCAATGTTCGTGAGAAGGCTAATTTTGATATTAACTTTTATCATGTCCCCAAAGACAAGTAATGTGATTTTGACTAAAAACTTCATAATCACAATTTAAAGACCACTGATAACACTTTAAGTAGTAAAAAAAAAAAAAAAAAAAAAGATATCGGAGTGGGACTTTAAAGCTCCTTGCTTATCCTTTTACATTGTATTGTTGACTCTTCATAGTTAAATGTTTCATTTATTGTAACAATCAACATGTATAAAATATGAAAACAGCCACAAAATTGAAGCTTAAAACACTGGTGTCAGACTTTAAAAATACCACAACAAAAATTGTCAGTCTTGTTGATTATGGTGTTTTTTTAGTTTTGTACACCATAAAAAAGCATCACCATGAATTTTAGTCCATTTTATAGACAGAAAAAATCCCCACACAGGAGCCTCTAAAAATGGCATGAATAACAAAGCATGACTTGGCTGTCTGAATGTTGTTGCTTAATTAGTTATTTGTTTGCAGAAACAATTATGGCATTTTGTGAAAAGCTAAGGGGTCACCAAAACTTTTACAAACCTCCCCGACAAGTTTGACAACACTTGGCTGAATATACACTGAACCACTCAGCCTCATGTTGGTGCTTGAAGATAAATAAGATGATAAAGAAGATCACTTTTGGAGATTTTTTTAGATTTCGTGGAAAAGATGGTGTGCTGTGGATGATGTGTAACTTGTGTAACTCATGTTGAAAAGGGCAGTGAGTTTCTGTCACAGGGCTAGTGGTATTGATAAGACCACTAAAAGAAAGCAAGTCATCCATGCTTAATTTCCTTTTTTTAATGAAAACATGTACGTGATAGTCATGAACTGAAAACCTGAAATCCTGACAACCTTTTTGTTTCAGAACCACTGTCTTGGCAGCATGAACTTTGACACTGATGCTGATGGAAATCCACCCACTTACTTCCACAATCTGTCACAAAAAGCTAAAGATGTCAATGTGCCATAGGTGCTGCCACATAAGCAAACAGATCAAAAATGTGTTTTTTCTTTTTAATTTTTTCTTTTTAAATTCTCTTGAAGTTCCTACAAAATTTCAGCTCTGTCCTGGGAGGAAGAGTAATCATCAAATCATGCAGTATAAGAGTGGTATATTTCCATGGATGCTACAGATTTGACATGAGGAGAAGTTGTCACAAAGCCACTAGAAGATGACATTTTTCGGGAATTCCCGTGGGTCACATGATTCCCGCAGGAATCCCACGGGACAGGGGTCATTTTTTAAATAATCCCGTGATCGAGACGGGATGGGAAAAAAAGCAACGGGAGCGGGCAGGAGCGGGAACAACATTGATAGATGATCATTTTCAGTTGTGTTAAACAACCAGATGAACAGATGCGTTCATTTTTGTAGTCATCTCACAGTGAAAGCCAACACTCTTGACCGCGCTAGCAACACAGTGACTTCCTGTCACCACAGGAAGTCAAAAGCGACTCGGAGCGGCTGCCGGCGACACACATAACTGATGTAGTTCTCACATGTTACCTCAACAAGAATATATACATATACAGTAGCGGTTCAAGGCACGGGCGAACCGGGCAGCCGCCCGGGACAACTTTTGTGTCATGACTCATGGGGGGCGGCACGAGCACTTCCAAAAAAGAAAGAAAAAAGATAATAATAATAAATCTGCACCGCAAAGCGGTTTTGTATTAACTCTTGTCAAATTGGTGCCCCCTGCTGCTGTACGCGCCCCTGCTTGCTGCGAAGGTGCTGCACAGAGGCTGACAGACTGTATGAGACGAGGCGGGGAGAGGGTCGCGGGGGACAGCTCTGCTCTCAGGGTTGCTCTCACTCTGCCAGTCACGGTGTCTCAAGCAGAGAGGAGCTTCTCAAAACTGAAGTGAAGTCATACCTAAGGTCAACCATGTCTCAGGAACGGCTCACTGGCCTTGCCGTCATCAGCATCAATCATTTAACCCATTTAAACCGGGACAGTATGTCCGCATATCAGCCTTCCAAGCCGAGAGCGTGGCTGCGCATTTCTACCCTTCAAGCCGGGAGCGCGGATACGTCATTTTGTGACATTCTGTAGTTTTTTAATCATTTCTTAACGAGTCTTGGGACTCAAATCACCATACCTGTCTACCTCTGATAGGCAAATAAAGCGCTCGGATTCATGCTTGGATCTTGCTACGTGCTTCAAGAGTAAAGTAAAAAACTACGGAGGCAGACAGCAGCTTCAGAGGAGAAACATCCAACAGTGTGAACAACCTCTTCATATGGAGTGCTTTGGTTCACACTATCAGCCTTTTTCTGTGAGTGTTGCATGACTTTGGGTGTGCACAGAGATGAACACACTGTCAGCCACATATTTATTTATTTATTCATTTTTATAGTTTTAAGCGCTGGTCTTGTACTGGCACTATTCTAGGGCAGCTGTATACCCTTTCAACACTTTATTTTTTATATTTACATTTGTGTTGAATGGACACTTTATCATGACTGCCACTTGTTTTACAGAAAGCAAATAGTTTGTTATTTGCCAGTGCAGAGTCTTTAATTTTATTTATACAGCCGCTTTATTCCATTTAAGTTTGTTTGTTGAAGGTTTTCAATAATGTGATGAAGGTTCAGACAAATAATAAATAGCTTTCTTGAAAGCCACACCTGTAAGCCTGTAAGCTCTCAAATACTTTTTGAATTCTGTTTCTATCTGCGACAGAGGCTGAGATATCAGCTTTTTTGTAAACCTATACACTTCAGAAAACCTCAGGCCCTTCTCAAAATTGCCCTCAGGATTTCAGAGGAGCGGCTCGGACAGGGTTCAGGTCTTAATGGGTTAATAGGGAGGCAGATTTCTTATGACGAGATTATTGATGATTTTGCATCAAGGAGGCAAGAAAGGTCAGGTTTTAGTTTTAGACCCCTCGCCCGGGGAGTAATTTAGTCTAGAAACGCCACTGAATGTCAGGCATGTGAAACTTAAAGGCAATGCCTTTTATATGCAGTGCACTTTTACCTAAAATAAAAAATGCAACGTTTTTTCAACCTGTTTGGTTTTATTCAGACAGGAGCGGGACAGGAGTGGGAGTAATTTTAAGTGGGAGCGGGATGGGAGTGGGAGTCATTCTACGGGAGTGGGACAGGACGGGATTAATTTTTTTACTCTGGTCCAGGATTGGGACAGGACGGGATTTTTTCTCTGAGAGTGGGACGGGACAGGAGTGAAAATCTGCTCCCGTGTCATGCTCTAGTGCACATAATGCCAGATGCGTCTTGTAAACCTATGGGGCTTTCTACAGCTGAGATTGGATGCCGATTTGTAAACCAGGCTTAAGAGGTATTAAGAAAAAAAAAAAAACAATCACACGATGAGAACACAACAATCTTATGGTATATATTTATATATAAAAAGGTGCTTTAGCTAATGGACCTCAGCAATCAGAGAACCAAAACTAGAAGTAACATAAAAAGCATCATCAGCATAGAGGATTATTTAGAGACATTCGCTGATTGCGTCTTAAGGATGCTAAACTTGGTAGCCACAAAGAAAGAGCTTTATGAATATGTCAGAACCAATTTTAACACCAGCACACATTGAGCAGTTCCCACAAAGCAGAAACAGAAGTAATGAAAATAACTTCATCAGCTTCGGTAGTTTGGTGAAGAACACAGCTGAGGGTTTCTTATACTTTAAACCTAAGAGCACAAAGGTGCTTCCTGCAGGTGAAGGGTTTTGCCCAGTGAAAAACACAAAGAAAAGGCCGGTTTCATCCTGAGAGACTACATTCTTACAGGGTGAAACTATCAAAACTTAAGCAGTATAGAGTTGATGCTTGGACTATAGCTTCCCACACTTCCTCATCTTGTGCAACAACACTGACAGGCATAAATTACCCAACTTTTTGTCGACATGATTAAAAATTGTAGTCTTATCCATCAAATCACAATATACATACAGAAAAAGATTGACAGCCTGACACTAAAGGTGGATTGTTGTAGTGTCAAACTAAATTTATCAACTTCTGTTTTATATCATTGTCGGTGGCATGCGGTCCTGTAAGGTCTGAACGTGACTGCCTCTTCCCTATTTCAGCTAAAGATCCCACTGTGTGGACTGTGCTTTGTTTCATACAATAATCACACAGTCATAAGTACAGTACATACGACTAGACCTGTGCTGCATTATAATACACTAAAGGCACCTGTTTTCACATTCAACCCTAAGGTAGGTCCTGCTTTTTTATGTATTGTCAAACCACACCCCAGAATGCAAAATGTGTGAGTAGATGCACATTTGTACAAAGAGAAGCTTAAATGTAATTAAAAATAAGTCATTTCACTATTTTCCAATCACTATGGTTCCTGATGTGTACATCACTTCACATTTGGCACCAAAAATATCATGTAAAATAATCATCTGCAAAGATAGCCATGAGTAAAAAGACACATCTAGCAGATGAAAAGTACCGTACAAAGTGTGTTGTGGCTGAGGTTAAGTAACATTTATAATTCTGTGCATGGGAAACAATAGACAATTTATATTTTGAACTCCATATGAAAACCTAAAATTAAACAAAAAGTATGAAAACAGCAAGAAAAACTAATGAGATCTTACCCATTTGGCAATCAGTCATTTATATCCAAGGAAAAAGGCAAAATGATGGTTCCTTACAGTAACATAGAGTCGAGTCAGGCTGTGAAAACAGGGCAGACTACCTCAGCTTGTAGTGCAGGAACATCTGAATGAGGTTGGTGTTTGGTTGTTTGTAACCTCACCTCTTCCCCTTCTAATGAAATATCAAGCTTTCATCACTGTATAGACAGAGAATGAACAGTGCGTCCTTCAAAATAAAAGCCCTGCCGGATGACTCGGTCCAGAGAGTGTTCGACACCATTTTATACCACTTAGCGTTTGCATTTTGTGATATTTAACTGGCCAGATGATGTAACAGAAAGGAGGAGGCAGCAAAAACAAACAAAAAAAAAACATTAGTAAGGTAGTCGTAAATGTTCTGGATTCATTTTGACACCGTTGACCTCATATTTCTTACAACACCAGGAGCACGCCCGTCATCGGAGGTTTCAAAACTTGGTTTGATAAGGAAACTTGCAGAACATGGTACAGTACAGGAAGTAAATTTTGAAAGCCAGGAAGACTGTGAGATGATGAAATACGCGTTGATTCTTTGACAGGGATCACCACTTCTGATGCTAAGTGATCATTTGATGATGTGGGATTGGGGACTAAGAAATGTTCAAGTTATTTGGTTTCAAATTAGACACTATAAAATTAGACTTTTTGTATTCTGAAGATGACTTCATCATTTTCCTCTTTAGTTGATGTGCTGTAAAGTCAAGCTGACTTGACAGCGAAAGATTTTTGTTTATGTCAGACCAAAAGAATTTATTGTTTTGACATTTTTATGTAATTTAGTAAAATACAAATAACCTCACATAAAAAAAACCATTTACACACATCTAAATCAAGCAAAGACTTGATAGTGCTAGTAAAGCAAAGGAAGAGATTGAGCACATGGCGAGGCTGCAGCTAATGATTTCACTGCAAAACAGTGGGTGACTTTGATTATCATAAAATAATAATAATAATAATAAAAACTAAGATTATAAGCATCAGTGTTTACATTACTAAGATGAAGACTTTCAAAACGTTGGATGAAGGTTTCGTCAGTTACTGCTGTGATAAAAGTGGTGTGAGGGCTCAGATTCTTCTCTGTGTTAAAGTGCATCAAGATTTTTTGGTGCCATCATCAAAACAAAGTAAAATTTCTGAAAAGCAAAGGGTTGATGTTGCAGTTAATGTTTCCTGTCAGTGTTATTTTTTTTACATTTTTGCGGCCAATGTGACTAATATGTTTGATGTATTTCACTTCTGTGGTTTGGAAAAGCACTTGCTTTATTGGAGCAAGCGACTTAAGGCCAGTCAACGTTGTGGAAAAAACATCCTCAGGTCCACATGCGATGATGTAGAGAACAGTCACTTCATGCGCACAGGACTTAAGTGAGAGACAGCATCCAAACCGGAACCCCTGAAAGTGCAATACACTGTCACATTAACTAGGGATCATTAACTAGGGATCATTGAGCATCAGAAAGCAATCAACTCTGCAATAACTGTGGACTTTCCCCACAAAAAATATAGGCAGTGATTGGACATAGATAGATAGATAGATAGATAGATAGATAGATAGATAGATAGATAGATAGATAGATAGATAGATAGATAGATAGATAGATAGATAGATAGATAGATAGATAGATAGATAGATAGATAGATAGATAGAAATAAAGAAGAAGTAAGTACAATGCAGACTAAAAATACTAATTTTATACAATAAATAAAGACCAAATATACTAAACATCCTGAGAGAAAAAAGTGAGATATGAAGAACATGGGCTATTGAAATGAGTAATTAATATGAAATGCGAAATATACAGATGGGATAATAAATAAACAGACAATTTAAGGTGCTCAGTAATGTGACATTTTAAACATGCACTGGTAAAAAACAGAGACAGCAACCAAACTGGAATTCCTGAAAAGTGCAAAAGCTGTCATATTAACCAGGAATCATGGGAAATTGGATGTCAAAGTTTATTTCATTTTATTCAGTTTAAGGCCAAGGAAAGAACTGCTTCAGCTTGTTTTTAAAATGTAAAATTGTGTAAATCCAACTAAAATTAGAAATTGAAATGTGATAAAAACCTGAAATAATTTCTTTATAGTCTGTAGCAATCATACTTAAGATGAAATGTTTAACATTGCAGCATTACAACATGATGAGATGAGAACATACTATAGTAGTTAAAACAATGTGATACAGAGGGACTAAGGATTACAAAGTCATACTAAAGCACCATCTAGTGGTAATAAGGAAATATCACATTTGCTATTAGAGTGATGAAAGACCACGGGTAGTTTGTCACTGCGTCTTCTACAGCATCAACATTTAAACTGATCTTAAATTATAAAATTGTTTTCTACTTTTCTATGAATGGGTGTTTTCAAATTTGATTAAACATTTACATCATTCATTATAACCTAGTATAACACAAGGGAGTGATCTTTTATTGTCTCAGAGCGGACACGGTTTTGTGAAAGTTGCACAATTGGAAAAATGATTATGTAAAACACCTGAAATGTTGTATCTGTGCTCACAAGCCTTTTACATAAGGAGCAGACCCTCCTCCACGCCGGCCTGAAACAAACATTTGTCATTACATATTTTTGTAATTGGTCAATTGCTGCACACTAGGGGCTCTATTTTCGTGCGCGCCGGTGAGGCGGAGGAAGGCGGCGAGCCCCGCGCAGTTGTATTTTCATCTGGCGGAGCCCTGCGTAAGGCCAGTTTGTTATTTTCGTGGACTGAGCCGCAAGGAGGCGAGCCGAGATCCGCCAAGCTGGGCGTGGTGGCGTGGCAGGGGGAGGTGTCGACAGAATCAGCTGGCGCAGTGACATTTTCGTGCTCGCCACCGGCGTGTAAAGTGCGCTGAAAGCTCGCCGATTCAAACCTGGTCAGCTTTCAGCGCAAGGCGGAACGCAGCTGGTCCAGTAGTATTTTGGTAGACCGGCAGCGTATCAACATACGTCACTGATGCCTCACCAGCAGGTTTCCACAGTGTCAGGCACATTTCAGTGCAATAAATAATCATCATCAACTATTAATCTGAGTCAGCACATACATTTAGATCTATATAGATATATTCTGATCTATATGTGATCTGATGAGCGCGTTTGGCACGCGTTTGGACACACAACCTGACCAAATCAACACAGCTGAAACTGCATTAAATTAAATTAAATATCTAGTAAATAAACACACATGATGAAGTTAACAAGATATGTAATTCGTCTCCCTCCTTTTCTTTCTTCCTCTTCCTCTTATTTCTCACACAGCTCGACCTGGACACGTCTCCGTGTCCTCTGTCCGTCTTGCTGATGCTGCGGCTGAACAGATGATTTGTTTCAGTGATCAGATGCGTGATCTACTTTAAGCCGACATACGGATATTATAATATTCAGTTTTGTGAGCCAAATTTATTTTATATGCCAACATCTATGAAAGAAAGAGCCAGGCCACGGAGCGCGATGCGTCATTTACGCACAGATGGTTCCGATTTTAATGCCATTTTTGGAGTTTATGTTGTGATCTGTGCGCTCAACCTTTGTCACGTGAGGTTTGAATATGAGCAACTTTATTTGAGTGTCTTTATTTGTGGAAAAGGGTGTTTGTCTTACCACTGGGTCCGACATTACACACACCAAATCCATCTGTGCTTATATGAGAGGGTGTGGAGGACACTTGTTGAGGAGCTGCCCTCTGTCGCCATCTTGTGGCATTACTGTCTTAAGACATCTCTTGATCTCTTCGACTACTTCATGAAAATAGTAATACGCCTTGCCTGTGGCGGATTTAAAGGCAAGGAGAGGAGCTTATGTGATTGGTGAAAACAGGTCTCAGCTGTGTTAAACCCACTACACGCCCTTTCTCCTCCCCGTCTACGACTTATGGTGCTGGGAGGAGCTGAGTTAGGGAGGGGGGATACTTACGCCGGGCTGCGCGGCTCACCAAAATACCAAAATGTGCTTGGGAACGCCTTGTCAGCACGGCGGATCTGACTGACGCTGCGCTTGCGGCACGTCTCCGGCGAGGCACCAAAATAGAGCCCTTGGAAGCAAAGGAAGAAGAAATAAAGTGTTTACTAATGTGTGCAAAAGATTGTACAACTAGACACTTGTGATGAATAGAGGATCATGCAGAGGCTACTTGTCCCCGACACTGAGAGTCACCGTCACAAAGGAAGTGTGTTTGTCTGAACACCAAATAATGTTAAATATTGCTGTTTCCACACAATGTACCTTTAAAATGAACAAGATATAAGCTACCTTGCCTACTTCACATCTAAAAACTGTACATCTAATATAATATTTGAGCTGCTTGGTGAATTCTTGACACTTTGATGGTTACAAAGATGTTTATGTGTCAACATAAATGTGATTATTTTACAATCTTTATCTTAAGAGGTTTTGTCATCGCCATGCCCTATGCAAAGTAGATCATGAACTTATTGTTTTGTGACAGGAAGTATATGACTCTTTTTTTTTTTTTTTTTTACTGTTTTCTAAGGCGTCTGCTCACATGATATTTATAAAATGTCTGATACTTTAAGATGTGTTTCTGAGCTGGAAATGACATCCATGCACTCTGGCAACAACAATCCCCTGTGGGTTTAAATGGGTTAAAAAGATATTGTTGTTTTGTGTTTGTTGATTTCAATTTCTTATAATCTCACTAAATGAATAAAAATTCATGTTCTTGTCTAACTTTGAGTTGTGTGTCTGTCAGAGGGGCACTGAGGGGATTTACCTTTATAAAAAGGACAGTGGGAGTCTCAGTGATGTACAGCCTGAAGACGTAAGGTCCAGGTTCTTGCAGGGGTTAAGTGTCTCAAGGAAAGAGTGTCAAGTTCTCTAAAGTGATGAAACTTTGACTGTGTGTGTGTGAGTGCAAACACATGCATGACTGAAAATGTGCAAGTAACCAAAAGAGGAAGTTTCAAACAAGCCTCTGCGTTTTTTTCTTCTGCATCTTCCTCTTTTCAAAATGCTGTTTCACAGCTCATATCTTTTGCAACTCTTTCCACACCATTTACCTCGTGTATCATTCACCTCAGGAACATTTGTCAAACCCGTCTTCTGCACTATGTTTGCATAAGTTCTGCCATTTAAAAGGAAGCAAACTAAACCGGAAGGAGAGATTTGTGCAAAAATGAAGGAAGAGAGACTGAGAAGAGAAAAAAAAGAAGCAGTGAAGGGTGGGGAGTGAGGGAGGTGTAAGAGTTTCCTGTAGATGCATGCTGATCTTCCTCTCTGAGTCTGTTTCTGTCAGAGCGAGGAGCACAGACGAAGCTGAGCAGAACAGGATGCAGGCTATCAAATGTGTGGTCGTAGGAGATGGGTATGCAGAGTTTTAATTTTCCTACATTGTGCTTAAAGTAAGACCTGTCTCTAACTGTTAAATCTGGAGGTGTTCAGCTAGTTTATGCCTGATGAGGATATCTGGCCCCAGGCTAAGAATTTAGAGTTGTGAAGTTGAAATGTCAAAGGCTTTCTGAAGGCCCATCTCAGTTTTCTCTCAGTTGTAGTTTTCTTTACTTCCTTGATTCTGTGTTTATATTTTTCTTTGAATTAAAAGGGTAAATGTTTTGTAACTCCAAATTTGTGTGAAGCAAACGCTTTCTCCAGAGTTACATGTTGAGTTTTTAGGCGTGTGTTTGATAGCGCTGTTTCAGAGCGAGGCTGCTGGATGGTACAGGCCACAACATGCAGGAAAATGCTGCAGCAAGCTTAGAGGGCAGACTCTGAAGTGTAGGAAAAATACAAGAAATGGAACAGAAAAAGAGAAGATTTTTGAGATAAGGAAAGGAGAAAAAAAGCATGAAAAACATGCTGAAAGTGGTGGTTTTAGTTTAGTTGGGCATTATTGCAACCTAAAGTATTATTGAACACAAGTTTAGACATCCACAACATCAGAAACACTAACCTCTACACTCTTCTTTTTAATGAAGGTGGGGCAAAATGGCCCAGGTTGTCATGTAGAGGGAAACACAGAGGCGGAAGTGCTGTGAGAGATCAGTACACAGTGAGAGAAATATTAAACATTTACAGACGGTCAAGTTTTAGCAGTTCCTGGTGTGTTTCAGGCTTCCTGGTTTTTGAAAATGTAAACTGAAAAAGTAGAAAGTTGAGATAGCAAAAACCTGAAAAACTACATCTCAACATAATTTCAGGTCTCAAAATACAGTACATGTTACAGTGTCTCACCACAGAACTACTTGTGACATTTGTTCACTCTGCTATGAATGTAAACTCTGACAGAGACAAAGCTGATTGGCCACCCTAGCCGCCAACTTACAACATCCTGATTGACCGTTTGCCTTGTTATTTTTATATCAGCTATTTGGGTTGAACTTTAATTGGTTGCTAGAAGCTTGACTGGATTTTGATTGGGGAATTTGTCTCTAAGTTTAGCTGGTTAGAATGCTGGGTGATTCTCTATAAAATCTGTAAAGGTAAATGCACAATCATTACAGACTTTAACATCAAGAAAGCCCCGCCTCCCAAAGGTATGAGAGGGGACTCTTGATACAAATTGGCTATTAATCATTTTTTGGCTAATAATAACTAATAATGGCTGCGTTGCACCAGCTCTGTATGAATCAGAGGTAGTCTTAATTCCTAAATTAGGATAGATTTTACACTAAACATACGTTCCAGGGGATTCGCCAGCTGAGATAGCTCCGCAAGCTTTAAGAGACAATTACAGTCAGCTCAGCCCCTTCACTGAAAAACTGAAGTGAACTGGAACACAGGCCATGCTATCAAACTGATGCAGACAGTTTGGCCTACCAGGTGATTTATTGATCCCATAACTCCAGCCAGTGGTGTCAACACTGTGACAAACACTGCAATAAAATAGAGCTGCTTCCTGAATGAAGAGAGGAAGCATTTCAGTGACAATATCTAGGTTAGTTAGTTTCTTACTGCTCTAGTTGAGATGAACCGAACGTCTCTGTTCTGCAGACAAATAAACCACACACCTTAAACCAGCTACTGTCAGTGTGTGGATTTGGCTCCCCAATGTAAGACTGAATTTGTTTAGAGCTGGTGCATTGGGTGACAGAAGAAGATTATAAAACAATACAATACACAAACTTCATTGATCCCCAAAGGGAAAATTTGTTTGTCTGGAATCTCATTTCATGTACTACTTATTAAAGAATTGAAGTCTTATGGCTGAGTGTACAAAAGACTCGAAGAGAGAGGAGCCATCCATCACCATTTTTTGTATCGTAGTGATTGTTTCATGGAGAACATCACATGGAACTAAAGCCATTACCTTATGAGAGTGCAGCCAGGTAGATCCACACTGGAGCTCAAGTTGTTTTGGTTTAACAAGGTTTCAGTAAAACACAGGAGACTGCACTCACAGCATGCAATTACTATGACCTTTTCACATTTTTTTTCTTGCAGTGCCTAGAAATTAAAATAGCATAAATATGAATATTATAAAATCATTACAGGCATTGACAGATAGGAACAAAATATACTGATGCATTTTAGCGAATCAGCTATTAACTGATTTATTCATCCGCTATAGTGGAATATTTTTATATTACAGCCCTTCTATACAGCTAGGTTAAATATTTGCTGGCCCATGTTGTGTATTATCCTCTGAAGTTTTCAATCCAGCTTTTTAGGCTGCTATCACAGTCAGTAGTTAGCAGAAGACACAGCAATATTTGCAGCTTTTGCACTTTGTTTGCTTGTTGAATTAATCTATAGTAATAGTGTTTTTGTGTGAATTTGCATAGCTGAGGGTATAAATGCTGAATTGTTGGTTCTTCCCAATGCTTGTAGGTATCACTGATGACTATTTCCATCAAGATTTCCTGAAAATCTGGATTTACAGAAAATAAAAAGAGGAATTAAGTAACTTTCCTCCATCCCGGTCATGACGACTTGAAGGCAAACATTGTCAGGCATCTGTTTCCTTTCGGTGGCTAACATCAAATTTTTGGCCATTGAGATATGAGAGTCCTAAACTTATTAAGATCTAACTTCTATCAAAGCCCTTTGCATTTTGATACCACTAAACCTCAACTACACGGCTACATACTCAGTAAAAGGTTATTTATCAACCTAGAAATGGACATCTTATTTTGTTGTTTAATTAACCTGTAAGAAACACTCAAAGCTGTGACAGCTGTGACTGCAGGGACAATTGTAACAGAAATGTGCCGGTGTCCTATTGGACGGCTCTGGAAATGCACTGGAAGGAAGTAATGTGAGGAATTTGAAGGAAAGCACCTATAGGAAGCTCAAAGCTCTGCCAGGTTTTGCACCTGTGAACACCTGGTCAATTACAATCTCCTCTAACTGCATCCCAGCTGAGACATCTGAAATATGCTTTTAACAGAGGGTGAAACATCTTTTGCTGAAGGAGTTTGGGCTTGACCAGTTTCAAAACAGACACAGTGGACCAGTATTTAAATCAAACACACCAGCTGTCTTTGTGATGTGTGACCACGTGCATCTTTGTCTGTCTACAAGACTAAACTTAGGCGTCCAAAAGGGGACCTAAAGCTGCCAGTAATAGAGAGAGAAGGGGAAGCCCGTCTAAGTTTGTGGGGAAGTCTGCCATCACTTAACATGTTGCTGTTATACAGCCATTATTTAGAGTAGAGCTTTCCCAATTTATTGGTATATTGTGTGGTGTGTACACTTGTTGTGTGACATACCCGGTCCAAGGTGAGATTATAATAATTTTGATATTTTCATTGGTTTTTGTTTTATCTTGTTTGAAGCCTTGCCTGTTAACCCTGAATTTGTAGAAGTCTGAGACAACAAAGTGACTTCTTACTTGATTTATCACCCCATTCACATTTTTGTTTATTTTGTTTATTATGGTACCATTTACTGTTATGTAGAGGATACAACAGAGCATGGTTTCAGGCACAACTATCATAACATAATGTGAATGAAAATAACAGGAAACATTCAGATTCCTTGACGTCTCCTGAAATGTTCGTTTTTTTTCTTCATACATGCAGTTGAAAGTTGTTAGTCAAAATTAGCATCCTAATGATATAACAGATGCACCTTGACCACCAAGCTTGCATTAGCATTAGCATATAACTTGGAATGTAAGGTATTTCTTATAGGTGCCATTCCCTCTGCCATTCCAAGAATCCAAAATGGCAAGGATTAAATTGACAGATTTTTGGCTTCAAGGTGATCATTAATACTTCATATTATATGGTAAATACAAAATACCACGTAAGGAAAGATGAATGAAGTTTGAAGACAGCATGAACATTGCTCTCTGGACTCAAATGATGTACATAGTAGTTAGTATGAGCCACAGACTGTTATAATGCATGAATGTAGCCTCAGTGACATTATCTTTTGGTTTAAGAAGCAGAGTTTGATGCCCAACAATGAAGGTTGCCATATTAGAAAGGCTGGTGTAACATAGCTTTGAGACAACCTAACAAGACAACCTGGAGGCTGAGCTGGGCCTTTAACCAATTTACTAAAAGAGCACTTGCAATGTGATTCATCAATCCCTAAAACTGATTTCAGTCTGTGTTTTTTTCGTCTATATTTGGCACGTTTGAATGGCAGGTGTAAACTGGCTCAGTGTTAAGCAAAACTGTAAGCAGTCATTGTCACGAGAAGGAGGCAAAGGTGCGTGTGCCATTTGGAGCAAGCAGAAAACTTTGGTGTTTGAAAATGAAGCCAGCGCAGAGATGCAAAAAAGTGCAGTTCCTTGAGTGTCCGCTTGAGACCAGCTGCAAAAGCCAGCACGTCCCCATTCAGCCCCATGTTAAAGCCTTGATCTTTACAGCTGAATTAAGCATGTTTACAGCCTGGTGCCAGAAGGCTGCCTCCACTTGACCTCTTTTATTGTTTCTAGGTCATAAAGTTAGGCTGAGTCAGCATTTCCAATGTAACGACCACCACTGATGAGCTTCAAAGCACCTCCTCAGACACCACTGAGTGACTTGTATTACATCAGTGCTTTTGACAGCCAATGCTTTGAATTGTAAGTAGTAATGAGGGGTGCCATCAACATAATTTCAGGAAATGATAGGAAGTAAGTCGTTGCGACGATTATGAGTTTCCCGCCATTATGAAAAACTGTAAAAAATAAAATGTGTCAGAAAGATATGGAGGAAATGTCAAAGAAAAAAGGGATAAAGGGAATGAGAAGACTGGCAAAATTCTTCTTTAGATTGATTAAGTTTAAACCACGAATTGTAGGATGGTGTTAGTAGGAGACAGAAGAATTGATGACAGCAACCAAAGTGTCAGAGACATGCTGAAGTCGTTTTTCCTCTCAATTTGGCAGGTTCCTGTTTTCAGCATTAACCTATGCTTCTGAAACAGATCAGTTCCTTTTTGACTCACACTCGACCACAAAACACCAACGCTTGCACTTGCATAAAACACCCTCATTAACCCGTAATCCTGAACAAAACCACCATGGTTAGTCATCTAATCTCTATACTTTACTTAAACCTAATCCTGACCTGAACAAGACTTAAAGCTAGAGCTGACTTTTGTGTAAATACTGCAAAAAAGTTATAAAACTCCAAACTAAAAACCAAACTAAAACATGTCCTCTTAAAGATAGAAGTACTCAAGCAGATACACACACAGACATAATGCTTTTCTTAGCTGACTGCTGAGGCTCTCATACAACCACTCATCTAGTTCCTGTGCTGGTCTGACGCCTGGTTCACACAGGCGCTCAGCGCCGGCGCGCACGCGCTTGGCTGTTCACAAATAAAGCGTTTTCTGCTGCGCTCTGACGCGCCTATCAGACATCGACTGAGCCCGGCAGTGCTCGGCTGTTTCCGTCTGCCCTTAGTTTTCCACACTTACGAGCGCTTTAAACATGGGTAAATCAATATTTATTTATGTTTTTATTACGTCATACGTACATTAAATATTGGCAGCATCTTCAAGTATTGTTTTAAATTATTATAGGGGTAAACAACGAATGAATTGGGGAGTCTGTTGACTCCATTGTATGTGTAGCCTTGTTAGCTCGAGGCTATTGACTCTTTCATAATAAAGTCCCCCTCCTTTGTCTCAATAACATCACTAAATCTCTGCCGCTATTCCTCCGTGTGTGTGTGTGTGTGTGTGTGTGTGTGTGTGTGTGTGTGTGTGTGTGTGTGTGCGCGCGCGCGTGTGTATGCGTGCATCGGGAAAAATTGACTGACAAGCAACATCGTAAATCCTTTTTTTTCTAATTTATTGAAATTTATTTTATTTTGAAAATTGACCGGATTCCCTCGCATCTCCTGTTCTCGACTTCCTGTCTGGTCCGATCTGGTCTATCGCGCTTTACAATTGGCGCTTGCGGCGCTTGCGGCAAAGGTTAACACGGGCGCCGATCCGAAGCCTCGGTGCGCGGCGCTTCCTGTGTGAACCAGGCATTAGACATCTTCTTTTTGAAGTTATTGATTGAAGATATGGGAAGCCTTGACCCCCCCCCCCCTGTTTCTGATCATAAATGAAATTGAACCTCTCCAATCGTCCACCTTATACACCTCACACAACAAGATAATGTGAGGAGACAATCTGTCGAACTATCTGATAACAGGGTCTTGGCTGACTTATGTCTTATAATCCATGATCGTCTTTACAGTATGTAGTGTAAAGCAGCATTTTGCAGAGCAGACTTGTTTGTTACCTTAGGGTTACCGTCCCAAAGATGGTGGAGGGAACTGTTACTGTGATGGTGTATTTTAAGCTAAACTCACCTGAAAGTTAAAGCACCTGGAGGACATTCCTCTGGAGTGTGTTACATAAAACTCACCTGCCCCCAAATTCTTCTGAAACAGACTTGCAGATAATTCAGTTTCCCAGATGTGTTCAATTATTAATATTTTCTTATCAGAAAGGCTTTAAAAAATTTTTTTTTACAGTTATGTAACAATGACTTTTTTCTTTTTTCCTCAATGTGGCATCAGTGAAAAAATGTCCTATTACTTTCAAAGCTCAGTATGAATGCATAAAACTGGTGAGGAACCACAGAGCCCACAAATGGTTGGGTTTTGTGTGTCTGTGAACAGGTGTACTCACACTAAACAAAAGCAAGCCTAGACTTACACTTCCTTTAACAGTCTCACATTTAAGGAGATTCCAAGTAAAATCTATGAGGTAGGTTCATATTTGTTCCCTTCTGCTCATTCAGATCGAATCAGCGTCAGGGTGTTATTTCTGAACTACTGAGGGCAGAGCTGTGGAACAAAATAAGAGCAGGACCAGTCAATACTTGTTGGATCATCTCCGTATGCAGCCGTGTGGTTTGATCAGCTGCACTCCTACTATGAACATTTCTTGGCTCATTCCTACTTCTTAGTAATCTGAAATAAGTGATTTGTTATTGGTGGATTGAAAAGTACCAAGGCGGAACCAAGTTATCCATAGTATATACAGTCTATGGTCCTTTCTTTAGGACTCAAAAAGAAGATATCTCTGAAAACCAGATCAGGAAGCTAATTTTTAACTCCTGCCCTTTGTTTATGATCATACTGAGGGCATTTGGGGTAGCTTATTGAATTCAAGGGAGGGCTATGCCACCTAAAGCCTGTCCACTGGTGTGGTTAGGTTCAGACCCTGAACAACTTATTAACTTGAAGAAAACAGACCTTAAGTTAAGATAACCCCTCAAATTAGACATTAGCAATAAAAATTACAATGTAGAAATTGTGACTCTTGTCCTTGAGTGTCTTGTTGACTCATAGATATCATTAAAAAAGCATCAATATGCATTTCCTTTCATTTTAGCATATTTCTCTAGTATACAACTTACCATAAACCATCTTTCATTTTTAACACTTGACCCATTATTTTTGTGTTTTTCATTTACTCACTCTGTATTTTATTCCACTTGTGTTATTCAGAGCTGTGGGAAAAACATGCCTGCTCATCAGCTACACAACCAATGCTTTCCCCGGAGAGTACATTCCTACTGTGTGAGTATAACACACTCATTAAACACACATAATCCCCCTATCTGTATCTAGCAACATTACATACCAGGTAAACAGGACTTTTCACACGTCTTTATAGCACTTGGTAAAGGTGATTGCGCCAATAAATAATCAAAAATAAACAAAGGACATTCAAACAAATTAGGTGAGATTTGAAAGAAAAAAAAAAAAAATATATATATATATATATATATATATAAGAGAATAGAAGATAATGATGCTAAGAAAGCAAAAACAGGACAATGAAAGTGAAAACTCTTGGTCTATTTAAATTACCGCCCTTGCCTTTAACTCTCTACTCAGTGTAGGTTTTAGGAGACTGCAAACAAGAGAGAAGCAAAGTACGATGTAACCATAACGGAGTTTAGTTTCCTCATTCAAATTCTCACTAGAGAAAATGATCAAAGACAGATCAAGTCCTCACCTTCCCTGATTTGTTTTTCATTTTCTGTTTTAAGTTCCCTTTTTAGAGAAGTTCGTTAAAAATGTTGCAGATGAGACTGTAGTTCTCGTGAATGACCACATGAGGGCAGTGCTGCTTTAACAGTCTTATTCAAAGCCTGCAGAGAGCATGCCCATGAAGGTGAAAAGGTCCATGCAAAACATTTTTTTAAATGGGAGTCAAAATTTACTAGCAATATTAAAGATGGAATGTATACAAAGTAGATATATATAAATATATAAATAAATAAATATGTGTATACGCGCACACACACGCACACACACACACACACACATACACACACACACATCTATCTATCTATCTATCTATCTATCTATCTGTAAAAATATATGTATATATATATATATAAATGTATCACCTTTTCACAGGTGTCATGTTACTCTCACACAGTTTGGTTTATTTAAGTGTGCCTTTCCAAAAGGCATGCTGGCATGTTTGTGGTCAATCTAAATGTAGTGATTGATGTCTGTAAATAATCAGCCAAATGAAGACCCCCCACAGTCTCATTGATTTGCTGACCAGCTGTGCTTTTATTGACCCACAGATTCGACAACTACTCAGCCAACGTAATGGTGGACAGCAAGCCAGTCAACCTGGGCCTCTGGGATACAGCTGGACAGGAAGACTACGACAGGCTCCGCCCACTTTCCTACCCACAGACAGTATGTCATTCAAGGATGTACACACATACCCACACTCACACACAACTCATCAGAGAGGATGAAGGATAAGATCTGTGTTTGTGAATGAGCTGCTCCTTGTTAGGTTAAAAAAAACTGAAAATGTGAAAAAGATCAGAAAGTCAAATATCCCTGATAGGCTATAAAAAATTGTGAATGATTTGGGCAATATCAGGGTTAAACAATATTCTTTTGACCATAACTAAGGACTAGTTGTACATTTACAGACGAAAGTTTTAAATGAACAAGAATTCATGCTTGAATTTATAAGAAATAACTGAAAGAAACCTGTAAACTCAGAAGGAAACTAGAAAAGCACTCAGAGAGCGCAGACCTCCACCAAGCAGCTGGTGTCCCCCCTTATATTGTGACTCACACCAAAACTTTTACTGTTACGTGTCTTTTATTAACTTTTATTTGTGTTTAAAGTGGTATGTTCACTGTTCATAATGTTCCTAAAACAACAAAGCTCATATTAGATACATAAATGCATGATTTATTATGCAATATTTGTAAGCGTATACTTCCTTGTATCTTCATTGGTTATCATTGGTTAAAATTTCAGGTCAATCTGTCTGTTACTTTCTCCGTAAAGTTGCTAACAGACAAACAAACTCACAAACAAACAAACCAACGCTACCGAAAACATAACCTCCTTGGCGGAGGTAATAACATAAACTTATAAGGTCAGTGGTGGAAATTTAAGAGAATAAACTTAGTAACTGGCAAACCTGCAATCTTAAAAATGAAGACATAAAATGGCAAGTTTAAAGTTTTAGGGGATGCAAAGCCACTTGTTAGCCTGCCCTTCTCCATAGTAGACTCAGGTTCATGCATAAACCATTCACAATACTTAAGACATTACTTATCAAACTAAACTAATGAATTTGAATTTACCTTCTGGGATCAACAAAGTTCTTCTTCTTCATGTATACCCTTACACACTTTAGTTTAGGACCACAGGACCATATAAAAAAACCCAACACAATATAAAAGCTAAGCATTGCCAAATCTGAACTTCTGGCCTCTTTTTCAATCAATCATTAACTTCCTACTTCACATAATGTAAAAACAGAAGTAAGAAAGGAAGTCATGTTTTCATCTCATTTGCTCTCTGTCTCCTCTCATTGTCTCTTTTTTTTCAGGATGTTTTCCTGATCTGTTTCTCCCTGGTGAGCCCAGCATCCTATGAAAACGTCAGAGCCAAGGTGAGTCTACAGTCCAGTACCTCAGTATCTGGAGCAAGACACTGAAGCCATTGATGTTGTCGTTGTAGTGCCTTGCATGACTGGCAGTGTGAGAGGCAATAAACTGCAGTGAAGGGCTGTGAATGCAGTCTGGTGACTGTCACTTTTGACACCTTTGATTTGGTGCATCAGAAGGGCTAGAGGTGATTTGCATACATATGTAAAAGACAAATAAAGATAGCAGAAGAGTGGATTCATATGTGGTGATTCACTCACAGCTCAGCAAACAGTCTCTTTCAATAAATTTGACTGATTATGAAGTTCGTACCTACACTGACATTAGAATTAGAGGTACATGCTGATTGAAATCCAAGCCTTTTACAGATTCCTTTTGGGAAATTAAAGGGTCCGGCATCACTGCTCAGCAGAGATTTACCCCTAAATTAGATCATTTCATTATCTCTCAGAGCCTTGGCTATAATTATCTGAGATTAAATGGTGAAATGATCTTGATTGAAATTTCCCCTGTGTAGCTATCTGCATAACCACAGGGAGCCAGTGAATTCCAATCTCTTCACTAAGACAATCACTTTGCAGTGATGCATGATGGAGCTATAAAACCTTTAAGTGTCATTGTAACCTTTCATTTCATCTCTATTTCTTTTTGATTGTCTGCAAAATGACAAAACAGTGAAAGGCTGAGACGATTCTGCAAATTCTGCAAAATCAGCAATATTTCATCAATGAATCAGATTGGACATTCATTGATCTTTAAGTTACATATAGAAGAAGAAGAAGAAGAAGAAGAAGAAGAAAAAGAAAAAGAACTTTATTGATCCCTGAAGGCAAATTCAATTGTCTGTTTTCTCACATAATATGTCTATAAATGTTATCTATTATTTACATAAGAGTTATAAAGTCTGATGGCTGTTGGTACAAAAGATCTTCTGAATCTTTCTGTCCTGCAGTGAAGAGAGAGGAGCCTCTGCCACCATTGGCCCTTTGGTCCATCAAGGTGTTGTGAAGTGGGTGATCCGTGTTCTTTAGAATAGTCTCCACCTTCCTCAGTTTAGATCTCTCCACCACATAGGGGGGGAAGGGATTCATACTCTTTGCAGCCTATCTCATGATGGAAATAAAAAGTTGCTTGAATATTGAGAACACACTGGGTATGTAATGACTATACAATAAAAATGCCCACATAAACCAACTTATTAACAGAGCAGTCACTGATGCCACACGATGGTGACAGAAGGCAGCCCCTCAACAAGTGTCACTGTAAACACTGCAGAGGGCGTCCTCCACACTCTTTCATATGAGCACATATGGATTTGGTGTGTGTAATGTTGGACCCACTGGTAAGACAAACACCCTTTTCCACAAATAAAGACATTTATATAAAGTTGCACATATTCAAACCTCACGTGACAAAGGTGGGTTGAGGGCACAGAGCACAACATTAACTCCAAAAATGGCATTAAAATCGGAACCATCTGTGCATAAATGACGCATCGCGCTCCGTGGCCTGGCTCTTTCTTTCATAGATGTTGGCATATAAAATAAATTTGACTCACAAAACTGAATATTATAATATTTGTATGTAGGCTTAAAGTAAATAACTCATCTGATCACTGAAACAAATCATCTGTTCAGCCGCCACCGCAGCAGCTGCAGCAAGACGGAGAGAGGACACGGAGACATGTCCAGGTCGAGCTGTGCGAGAAATAAGAGGAAGAGGAAGAAATAAAAGGAGGGAGACAAATTAAATACCTTGTTCACTTAATCATGTGTGTCTATTTTGTAGATATTTCATTTAATTTAATGCGGTTTCAGCTGTGTTGATTCGGTCAGCTTGCATGTCCAAACGCGTGCCAAACGCGCTCATCAGATCAGATATAGATCAGAATATATCTATATAGATCTAAATGTATGTGCTGACTCAGATTATTAGTTGTTGATGATTATTTATTGCACTGAAATGTGCCTGACACTGTGGAAACCTGCCGGTGAGGCATCGGTGACGTATGCCGATATGCCGCCGGTCTACCAAAATACCACTAGACCAGCTCAATCCACCTGCGCTGAAAGCTGACCAGGTTTGAATTGGCGAGCTTTCAGCACACTTTACACGCCGTTGGCGAGTACGAAAATGTCACCGCGCCAGCTGATCCTGTCGACACCTCCCCCTGCCACGCCACCACGCCCAGCTTGGCGGACCTCGGTGCGCCTCAGTCCACGAAAATACCAAACTGGCTGTACACCGGGCTCCACCAGAGTAAAATACCACTGCACGGGGTCCGCCGTATCCCCGGCGGACACGAAAATAGAGCCCACAGTCTTTCAGCCTGAGCACCAGGTTGCATCACAAACGGCATACTAGTACCTTTCATGTGCAGCTCTTTGATCTTAAGTGCTCTTAGTTTTAGTTCTTCATTATATCCTCTCTTCCTTGTTCTCCTTGTGATGCAGCTCTACAGTTCTGAGGGATCTTATCAGACACTACTGCCCTTAAAAATACACACTTAAGACCCCTTCAAATATTCCATAGGATGAACATCAATACAACTCAAGAGAATAAATTACAGGAGCATTGACTGTATCGGCTTAAGTAGTCAGCTTTGAATCCTATGGGGGTTGCTATGACAACAAGGGACTTGGAGTGGTTCATGAAAGGTGCTGGCTGTAAGATTAATTGGCTGGGTGGAAAAGAAAAAGGAAGACCTGTTGTCAAAGAAAAGAAACTTGAATAAATGAAGGTCCTGTTCCCAGACAACTGAGGCTGTATGTTTGATTAAATTTGAATAGTTCTTACATCACTCTCTTAAATGAGCCTTTTTTTTTGGAATGCAGAATACTGTTGGTAATTTTCAACCTTGCATTTGTATGGCACTACATGTTGATACCTGTGTCTGACTGGATCTGAAGCACTTAGTGGCAGGTACTCATGATGTTTCCTCCAGTGTGGATCCTTTCGTGTGGTGTACCCACTCTCAGGAATTAGTACATCGTCACTCTGGACAAAAGTGTCTGCTGAATGAAATTGTTGAATTGTGGCAGAATTGGTTAGACAAAGATTTGTTGACAGCAGGAAACCCAAACAGTTGTGCAAAAGTAATGATTGGATTGAAGCTAATTCATCTGACTGATCAGCAGAAAAGGAGATCAGGAGCTGGATTCGGACCCGATACCGGAAAAAATGTCACAACAGGTCAAGTGAAACAGTATTTCTAAAATGGTATTAACATAACAGCAATAGTGTTACTTTCCTCTTCTTCCTGTTCAGATCTTACTCAGTTGTCCAACAGTGCAGAGACTTTTAAGTTCTATTTAGTCTGATGCCAATCTCCTGTGAAAAGAGACAAGTGAGCATTGTGTAACACCCTCAAAAGGGTGCAAGTGAGGCTGAGTGCACCATGGGAAATGATTTTATGGGCACTTTTGTGGATCTCCACTAGACACTGAGGAAGAAGATGTCAGGAAATCAAATCAATTTCAATTGTATAGCACTATGAACACAATCCGGTTGGGGGCTGCTGGTAAAAGTCCAAACATGAAGAAAAAGTCACAGTGGTAAAGCGGTGGGACTGTGTTGCAGAGTGTACTGGAGGATATGGGCCCACTAAAAGCACTGCTTTATGCTAGCAAAAGTGAAAATGGCAAACCTGAGGTTCAACAAGTGTGTAAGACTAAAAATGATGGTTTTATCTATACTTTTGTTCGTGCATAAAACTGCAGCTCATCAAATGTCCACCTGGGGCTGGCTCCCAAAGCAAATGAATTCCTATTAAAAATCATTGAAAACGACCCCTTTTAAAAGCAGACTTTAACATGTTCACGTCCTGCTACTTGAAACACAGTTTGGTTTCCATGGTTTCTTTGCAGCCTAGCTCAAAGAGCAGAGGACACATATGACACCATATGCAGGGGAGAAAAGAAAACTGACTGTAGGAGACGGAAACATGAATTTCTATCACACTGCAGTTTCCGATTTAAGCTTTGAACAACAGAAGCCCCTAAAAAAAATTAAGTACTTCAAGAAACAGCTGCTAGATTCATCAGGTATTACCCGTAATCCCAACCTGCCAATCACTGGGCTTAGGAACAGAGTAGTCTACAAAGCAGGGTGGATTTGTCAGTCAAAAACTTCACCAGGTAATTCTTTTAGCATATTGCATCTTTTATTTTCATACTGAGGAAAATTGGATGAAATTAGGACTTAAGAAGCAAAAAGTTTTGTCCTCGGGCGCCACTGTCGATGCAAACTAAAAGTTCCTCACAGGAGCTATAAGGTGGGATATTCATGCACCATGCAGAATATAACGTACAGAGGTGTAATTGCGAGGTGCAGCAACAGAGGGAAGCAATAAGGGAAGATGGTGTCAGAGCCAGTTGAGGAGAACAGCAAAGTGTTTTGCATGTCTGAGTTTGTGTGCATGGAGTTACTTATAAGCTTCAATAAGGCATGCCGCTTGAAACTCTGCAACTCAAAAAGAAGTCTCTGAAAGTATTTAGTTCCCCTGTCTCCTCTCTTCTCAATTTTGTTGTTTTTTGACTCCACCCTCTGCTAGTGGTACCCTGAGGTTCGCCACCACTGCCCCTCCACGCCCATCATCCTGGTGGGCACCAAGCTCGATCTGAGGGATGAGAAGGAAACCATCGAGAAGCTAAAGGAGAAGAAGTTGGCACCCATCACCTACCCTCAGGGTCTGGCTCTGGCTAAGGAGATTGGTGAGCCAAAATCTGATTTGCTAACAGGCTTCAAACTGTGAGAGATATCAATGGGATTTTTTTAACACATTTTTAACTTCACATCCAGAAGCCAGGTACACAGAAAACTCACTTAAAATAGTCAGACTAACACAATCAGTTAATTGGGCTGGGGGTTGATTTTTTGATGCTTATTGAATAGTTTAAAATTCATATGGGTGCCTTTTCATGAAATCCAAAAGTCAGGATGACCAAAGGCAACAAGATTGTTGATTGTGACATCGTAATTTTTAACACCTGAAACTCTTGCAAAGGTGTAGGTGTTAGCCTTCCAGCTGAAGAAACAGCCCTGTTATTACAATTTCCAAATTAAATATTCAAAGACAAAAACGTTCTCACAGGAGCTTTAACCGTGCATGTATTCAACACATTTACCCAGATATGTCTAACTGTTGATTATTGTTATTGTCTTGTTTAGATTCAGTGAAGTACCTGGAGTGCTCGGCTTTGACCCAACGTGGTCTGAAGACTGTATTTGATGAGGCCATCAGGGCCGTGCTCTGCCCCCAGCCCACCAAAAGCAAGAAGAAGGCCTGCATACTGCTGTAGACGGTAAGACTGAAGAAAGACAAAGCCAGAAGAGAAGAAAAGAGAGGACACATGGTCACAATGGGCTCTATTTTCGTGCGCGCCGGTGAGGCGGCGGAGGGCGGCGAGCCCCGCGCAGTTGTATTTTCGTCTGGCGGAGCCCGGCGTAAGGCCAGTTTGGTATTTTCGTGGACTGAGCCGCACGGAGGCGAGCCGAGATCCGCCAAGCTGGGCGTGGTGGCGTGGCAGGGGGAGGTGTCGACAGAATCAGCTGGCGCAGTGACATTTTCGTGCTCGCCACCGGCGTGTAAAGTGCGCTGAAAGCTCGCCGATTCAAACCTGGTCAGCTTTCAGCGCAAGGCAGAATGCAGCTGGTCCAGTAGTATTTTGGTAGACCGGCGGCGTATCGACATACGTCACTGATGCCTCACCGGCAGGTTTCCACAGTGTCAGGCACATTTCAGTGCAATAAATAATCATCAACAACTATTAATCTGAGTCAGCACATACATTTAGATCTATATAGATATATTCTGATCTATATCTGATCTGATGAGCGCGTTTGGCACGCGTTTGGACACACAACCTGACCGAATCAACACAGCTGAAACCGCATCAAATTAAATTAAATATCTAGTAAATAGACACACATGATTAAGTGAACAAGGTATTTAATTTGTCTCCCTCCTTTTCTTTCTTCCGCTTCCTCTTATTTCTCGCACAGCTCGACCTGGACACGTCTCCGTGTCCTCTGTCCGTCTTGCTGCTGCTGCGGCTGAACAGATGATTTGTTTCAGTGATCAGATGCGTGATCTACTTTAAGCCGACATACGGATATTATAATATTCAGTTTTGTGGGCCAAATTTATTTTATATGCCAACATCTATGAAAGACAGAGCCAGGCCACGGAGCGCGATGCGTCATTTACGCACAGATGGTTCCGATTTTAATGCCGTTTTTGGAGTTTATGTTGTGATATGTGCGCTCAACCCACCTTTGTCACGTGAGGTTTGAATATGAGCAACTTTATTTGAGTGTCTTTATTTGTGGAAAAGGGTGTTCGTCTTACCAGTGGGTCCAACATTACACACACCAAATCCATCTGTGCTTATATGAGAGGGTGTGGAGGACACTTGTTGAGGAGCTGCCCTCTGTCGCCATCTTGTGGCATTGCTGTCTTAAGGCATCTCTTGATCTCTTCGACTACTTCATGAAAATAGTAATACGCCTCGCCAGTGGCGGATTTAAAGGCAAGGAGAGGAGCTTATGTGATTGGTGAAAACAGGTCTCGGCTGTGTTAAACCCACTACACGCCCTCTCTCCTCCCCATCTACGACTTATGGTGCTGGGAGGAGCTGAGTTAGGGAGGGGGGATACTTACGCCGGGCTGCGCGGCTCACCAAAATACCAAAATGTGCTTGGGAACGCCTTGTCAGCGCGGCGGATCTGACTGACGCTGCGCTTGCGGCACGTCTCCGGCGAGGCACCAAAATAGAGCCCAATGTCTCAAAACTAAAAGCCCGTTGAGACTTTTGTGGACTCTTTATAATATACAGTGAATAAATATACAGTATGTTTGTAATGTTGAAGCAGAATAAAATATGTATGAGTCTTACACAAAATGTCAATGTTTGATCTGAATGTGTGTGTGCGTTTGCAAAGGTATTAAAGGGTCATTCAATGTCAATTCAACCAAGAATCTCCACTTACGTCACAGATTTTGATCACATTTGGTGGAGTGATTGGCCTTCAGGAGAAACTGTCAGAGCTCAAATATTTTTGTTCAAAGCCATCTAATTAGTGAAACAGGGGCTATTGAATTTTTGGCTAATTAGCATGATATGCGTTACAAAAGTGTTCATATCTCTGGAAGTATGGCACCTAGAGAGCTGATTCAGATGTCATTTTAAGGCTCTCTTCAAGTTATATCTTTTTGTTCATAACATTTTTCCCAAATTTGACCAGAAAAAAGTTATAAAAGACCAAAAACTTAAATTGGAAATAGCAAAAAACGTGCGTCCTTCAATTTTCTTCATTTTCACACCAAAGAAAGACTATCATGTCCACTGGCACCCCTGCAAGTTTCAGGATGGGCATTCCATAACTTTTTGAGTTATCAGTCAAAATGTGTGGTACGTTAGGTGGAAAATCGCCATATGTGGCACATTATACAGTCCTGACCTCATCTGGAGTCAGCCCCACTTGCCTGCTTGTGTAAAATATTACTTCCTCATAATGCAAAATGCTTTTTTTTGAGTGTTTTCGTTTTGTTATCCCATATTTATATGAAAAATGGCTAGAATACCTTATTTTTGCCCAGTTTTCCATCGCATTTCATTTCTATTTGCACCTATATCCAGAATATGAATGATCTTAGCCTCATGGGCGAATCATTTGGACATACCTGCATGTCCTGGATCCTATGGTTGACAAATAACTTCTACCTTTATACCCTGAAATTCGTTAGCCCTCACTAATCTCACTAATTAGATGGCTTTGAACAAAAATATTTGAGCTCTGACAGTTTCTCCTGAAGGCCAATCACTCCACCAAATGTCATCAAAATCTGTGACGTAAGTGGAGATTCTTGGTTGAATTGACATGGAATGACCCTAAAGCTTCTTTTCCTTGTTACAGATTCAGCAAGGTTCTGGGAGAGGAGCGAGTCAGACAGCTCACCCTGCAGTTGCAAGAAGATACTTTGCTGTAATGTGTCTAATATAGAACAATAACTGGGTATCCAAAAGTAAAAAAGAAAAAGCTCCTGTTACTGTTCACAGTTGTGAAACTTTCTGTACAGCACTCTGCAAAACAGATTTCTGAGTGCATTGTGGTTACTGCACCTTGAATTATCAGATAATTCACTAGATGTGGATGGCAAATTCTGCACACTTTAAATTAGCTTTTTTGCTTTGTTCAATGTACCAAAGCTCTAAAAAATAAAGGTGTTTTGTGCATACTCCATGATTAAATTAGTTAAACTGTCATTCTGAGAGTGATGAGCAGGGATAAAATGTAAGGATCAGGAATGTAGGTTTGTGTGTGCAGGGAGCTTATCGCTGATGTTTTATTTGATTCAAAGTTTTTAACAAATGTGTTATGTATTCATGTGATATAAAAATTACAGATTGTTGACAGTGTCTACACAGAAAATGTTTGCACACAGAGCTAACTTCACAGAGCTAAAATGGAGTGAAAAAACTTAATGCATGTGGCAAAATATACAGGATACAGAACAGTACAATACAATTTAATGCAATACAATAACAGTCAATTGTTTGCTATTTATATGGTTTGATTTATGTGAAATTAAAGTTCTACAGTCAACATTAGCTTTGAAACTGTGATAAAAAATAGAGAGACTGTTGCTTGTAGTTGGAGCAGCTGGAAAGCAGGGGGGGCTCACAGCAGCTAAACGTCAGCAGCAGCATTCCAGAGGAACCTACAGCATGAGGGAGCTCAGGGAGTCCTAGAAAGGTTAATGACACAGACAGATAGAGGATGGAGAAGGAGAGCAAGGTGCTCAATGTGCCAAGACCCCCAGCAGTCTAAACCTAAAGCAGCACAACTAAGTGCTGGCTGACGCTGAAGTTATGACACAACACGATTTGATACAACTCTTTTGGACATAGCAAAAAATGATGTGTTACAACAGAGCACGATACAATGGTAAGGTATGTTAACATGAGATGTATTACATCTGCACACTACTGCCTCAACTGAACCATTTCACTTGCCTCCAACTCTAAACACAATTAACAATCTGCCTGTAAAAGAAAGCATATCCCAGTTACAACTACAGACTACTATTACCGCTCACTGCCAGTGCTATGGTCTGTACAACCAGGGAGGTCTTCAGTACTCCACTGACAACCTGGATTTGTTGCTCCTTTGAAGTTGGTATCAAGAATTTTTGCTCGTTCTTGATTTTGATGGCCAGAAAAGGAACAAGTGACACTGGTTTAATGCTTTAAAAGTTTATTTGCTCCTGGTTTGTTTGGAAAACTGGGAACTACCCCTGCCAAAACCGCAATTGATGGACACCGGTCCTAATTCACAAAATAAATAGTTTAAATTATAGAATTGCAAAGCATTCTCTCGACCTCAAAAGCCTTTTTGATTGACTTGTACAAGCATAAGTTCCTTTTTTTTTTTTTCAAAATTTCTTGCATTATCATTTTGAACAGCAGTTCAGTTTACATTGTCTGCCCGATGGCGGAGGATGTGAAATAGACTCAGACAGACAATACTTTCTGCGCTTGTCTGTGTACAGACTGCTCACATGACTGGAGGCACTGATGTCTGGTTTTAAGGTATAATGATGATTCATGGGGCTGCTTTGCCACCATTTGTTACTTCTGTCTCACTTGGCTTTTCTACAGGCAACTTGTTAATCTGTTTTATCTATTTGTGTGGATGAGCACCAGGGAACTGACTAATAGCAGACATCAGGAAAAGGTTACGGTCCTCCTCATTGTGTTTGATAACTGCATGTGTCTCCTCTTTGTAGTATTTCAATACAAGGCTGCTCAAGACCTCACAGAACAAGTTTTGTGCTTGAGGGCTTATTTTCGTTCCTCGCCTGAGACGTGCCGCTGGCGCGGCGTAAGTCAGGTCTGCTGCGCCGACAAGGCGTTCCCAAGCACAATTTGGTATTTTGGTGAGCGGTGCAGCCCAGCTTAAGTATCCCCCCTAACTCAGCACTTCCCAGCGGTGTAAGTAAGGTTTAACACAGCCGAGACATGTATTGACCAATAACATCACCTCCTCTCCTCGCCTTTAAATTCGCTGCTGGCAAGGCGCATTATTATTTTCGTGAAGTAGTCAAAGAGATCAAGAAATGTCTGAGGACAGTAATGCCACATGATGGCGACAGAAGGCAGCTCCTCAACAAGTGTCACTGTAAACGCTGCAGAGGGTGTCCTCCACACTCTCTGATATGAGCACAGATGGATTTGGTGTGTGTAATGTTGGACCCACTGGTAAGACAAACGTCCCTTTTCCACAAATAAAGACACTCACATAAAGTTGCATATATTCAAACCTCACGTGACAAAGGTGGGTTGAGCGCACAGATCACAACATAAATTCCAAAAATGGCATTAAAATCAGAACCATCTGTGCGTAATGACGCATCGCGCTCCGTGGCCTGGCTCTTTCTTTCATAGATGTTGGCATATAAAATAAATTTGGCTCACAAAACTGAGTATTATAATATCCGTTTGTGGGCTTAAAGTAAATAACTCATCTGATCACTGAAACAAATCATTTGTTAAGCCGCCGCAACAGCAGCTGCAGCAGGAGGGGAGAGGACACGGAGACATGTCCAGGTCGAGCTGCACGAGAAATAAGAGGAAGAAAGAAAAGGAGGGAGACGAATTACATATCTTGTTAACTTCATCATGTGTGTTTATTTACGAGATATTTAATTTAATTTAATGCGGTTTCAGCTGTGTTGATTCGGTCAGGTTGTGTGTCCAAACGCGTGCCAAACGCGCTCATCAGATCAGATATAGATCAGAATATATTGATATAGATCTAAATGTATGTGCTGACTCAGATTATTAGTTGTTGATGATTATTTATTGCACTGAAATGTGCCTGACACTGTGGAAACCTGCCGGTGAGGCATCAGTGACGTATGCCGATACGCCGCCGGTCTACCAAAATACCACTAGACCAGCTGCGCTCGGCCTGTGCTGAAAGCTGACCAGGTTTGAGGCAGACCTCGGTTGCGCCTCAGTCCACGAAAAAATCAAACAGGCTGTACGCTGGGCTCTGCCAGACGAAAATACCACTGCGCGGGGTCCGCCACCCTCTGCCACCTTACTGGCGGACACGAAAATAGAGCCCTTAATGTGAATCTGGCATCAGGATCAGAGCTGAATGCTGCAGAGCCATATCAGGTCAAATGTTCAATTTCTGTTACTTTTTTGTTTAAATCAAATTTTATATTGCGACCACCGTATATTTGAAAAGGACAAGCGAAATCCTCCTCTTTCACCAACAAGTTAACCAACAGACACCAATAACTGACTTGCTGAATTCCTGCCAGACACAGAAAATAGGTGTGACATGTGGGGATGATATTGAGCTAAATACATTATTGAGACAAATCACCAAAGAGAGAAAGAGCAGTAGTTGCAGTTCAAAAATCTTGATTGAAATTAATAAGTCAGTGAAATGGTTTGGCGCAGGGTTTCTTTTTGGTTTCAAATAACACCTGAGCATTCAAACAGTCAGTATGAATCAATCGATGGCACATTTGTCAACTGTAAATTCTAAAAAAACACCCCAGATTTTTTAAGTGTTAGTTGCCTTTTAGATTATCAGACTTTTTCACATTTATTAAGATGTGTTGGACCTCTCTGTGGTCTGTTTATGACCTCTTTGATCCAAGTCATATATTCACAGACGTCCATTAATGTTTCTATCCGCCACAATTTCTATGTCTATAGACTGGAGTGTCCCTATAATTGAAAAAAAAAAAAATGTTTTAAAGGTAGGGTTGGTAATCACAGCAAACTAGCGTGAATTTGAATGTAGCATCTCCTCAGGACTTCACCTAGTCCCTACCCCCTCCCCCTGGAGCTCTTCCAAAACAACGCCCCCACTCACATGCACGAGCGCTGCTGTCTGATAATTCAAAACCATGGACTCAAAACTTTGGGACTCTAGATTGGGAAGTCTTTGCAGAGCAGGGACAAAGAAGGTGATGGTAGCATTGGGATGACCACATAACTGGCAACATGGCTAAACACTTGATCAAGATTAAAAATCGCCCTGAAAACAAACCCTCAACTTCCAACAGAAAACGAGCAACCATGGCATCACTTTTTAAGCCCTTGACCTCTATTAGGTCTCTCCATCGCTGAAAAGCTGTCCCAATGTTGACTTTTGTTTTCGCTCTTGCTATCTCCAAACTCTGTCTTGCTTCAGCCTTCCTCCTCTATTCTTCCTCCATCTTTCTTCCCTTGCTCTTTTTTGTTGGAGAAGCAGTCACCATGAATCTGGGTATAGGTAGTTTCTCTGCCATTCTCCTGCGTAACTGTATCCCTCTCAGCTCAGCCATGCGCATTGATTTAGGGCTAGTGCACGCCGGTGACATGTATGCGCAGGAGGCAGGCATGGAATTTTATTGGTTTAGAAATGTGGGACCCACACAATGTGATTGGATGGTATTTTCCCAGTTTTACTCCTGCTGAAGATAGCGGCTATGTTTTGCTCTTTCTTAAGAACACATCATGTATTGATTGCCATCAGAACATAAAGATGATTTTAACCAGAATAACAAGAAGTGTATCTAAATCAGATTACCAACCCTACCTTTAAGCACAAAGCAAAAACTTCAAAGTTACTGATTAAACTTGTAAATGAAGACAGGGAGTAAGTGTCTTTACAGTTATTCAGAGTTGAGTTTGGTAGGTCCATAATTTATGTACATTATCACTGAATAAGAGAAGAATGCGTTTTATGTAAATGGTTGAGACATGTTACCACCATGCAATAATACAAATACTGTACTGGGCATTATACATGTTGGACAAAAAGAAAATGAGTCATTTCACATCTGTCATTATTGGGACCCATCACTGTTGATGAAACTGTTCTTGTTTCATTTGAAAAAATGTATAGATTTATACCCTAGTGCCACTATTGTTACTGTAATGTCATATCTGCTTTCCTTTGCATGAGTGGATTGCAGTGTAAGTGAAGAGGACAATTTAGAAGAAACTCTCAATATGGCTCTAAAGGAGGACAAGACAATCAGGGAACGATGAAGAGCAGATATAAAATCTGGTCTCTCGTTTTTTTCTTGATGAATAATCAGATCTACCTCTGTCATATGCACAACCTGACATAATGCACAATCTATGAGTCCACATGCTTTGATAACACTCATAGGAGAGTTGAGAGTGTAAAAGAAAAAAATCTGCTGATCAACAGCATCTGCTATTGGCTGATCTGAGGTGTGCATAAGGCAATCAAAACACAACCCACTAGGTGGTAGACAGGTGGTCCTAACCTGCAAATGCCACCAGGTGAATTCCAGGTGAGATTTCAGCTGTTGTGGTATCTGATTTCAGCAAGTGACTCTTTATTAGCTTGTATTTTGATTATTTCTGTGACATAGGTATTTAATTTACAAATGAGTTCCTTAAGACCAGTGCATTGGAAGGAGTCAGTCCTTCAAAATTTCAAGCAATCTTCTACACATTTTTTTGTTAAATACATATTTGCTTCTCAGGAAGCTTTTGGTGATCTCTTTCCCTCCAAAGAAGGAAAATCCCATAGACTGTATATACTATGGATAACTTGGTTCCGCCTACCGCTTGTATACGAATTTGAAGCCAAATAGTTCTCGGTATTTCCGGGATTATTCTTCATTTCCTGAAACCAGCGCTGCACAGTAGCAATGTGTGCATTCCGCCACGCAGTCACAGAGAGTCGCTGTGATGACGCTCGGCTCAAACAACGTATCCCCCAGGAGAGAGCTACGCAATCCCTGAATGCCCATAGGCTGTATCAGGTGTCAATCATAGAAAACACAAACCCCGTAATAACTTTTAAAAATGGAGCTTCACAGAAAAAAGAGGACTTGAGCACAAACCAGTCTTACAATAACTGCATGTCAACATCAAAAGCAGGGGAAAAAATTATGTTCTGTGTAATAAATTTCTAAAGTTTGTCCACAGCTCCATGAGCTTTGCTGGCGGAGGCGGGATTTATAACCTATACTGCAGCCCATCAACAGAGGGTGCTGTTCTCGGAGTGGGAGTGGCTTCACTCAGTGAGGAGGCAGACTCTGTCCATTCTATATACAGTCTATGGAAAATCCCTAAAAAACACCACATATTTAAATCCTGTGAGCCCTAGTAGAAATAAGCTTGTGTGTAACGGTGTGTTACATAACTGTTCACAGTTACAGAAGATTATATTAACCAGAATCAGAAAAGCTAAATGTCTCCCGTTCAAATACTAAGTCACTCCTGCATGCTGGTTAGTTACTGGTACCTGCAACCTCTATGGGTTTGACCAAGCCCAAACCTTATGGTTTATACTCATTAATGTGCGACTGTACCTGCATTTCAACACTTTTCAGTAACTTAAAAAAAATGTGGTTAGTTCAATCCTGCCTTAAAATCTTGTCTTATACTCTTCCAAGTCATCAAGGAGAAAAAAAACTGTGCAAACCTGAGGAAATTGACCGGACGGATCTGCATCCGTTTGTCTTTCACCTTTGATGCGTTTTAAAGAAAGAAAAGAAGACAGAAACTGAGTCAACTCCTTTTTTTAAATTTGCATAATTGAATAAACACATGTATTTTTTAAATTGAAAAAAAAAAAAAAAGTTACCGATACTGTCATTGTTTCTTTATGTTTATATTTTTTCATTCAAACAGTGAATGCCAAGAACGGAAAAGATTGTATGTGAATTTAAAACCCGCAATCATATTATCATCAATGACACAGGTGGTGTAAATCTGTTTTTCAAATAAAAGAAAAGACTGAGACTCAACATTTTTTTGTATTTTAATTTTAGTGACATGCCTCTTCTCCACACTAACCAATACATGTTGGGCATCTCTATGGTCTGTTTATGATCTTGTTTATCCAGGGCCTGTATTCACAGACATCCATAAATGCCCCTGGGGCAACACAGGAATATTGACCATTGACGGCAAAAACATGGACACCATAGATCCTGCCGTTGGGAGCCACCACTCCACCTCCAGAGTCACCCTGTGAGAGAAATGTAGTAAATATTCAAAGCTTTTTTTTATCACTGAATAAAAGACTTTTTATTTACAGCAGTAAAAGATGTGATGATTGAGGAAATACACAGGATGAGATGCCAATCCTATTCACTGGGCTTGTGTCTCTTCCATTGGAGTCACGAAATACCCATTTTCCTCTACTAAATTTTTTTAACAGACAGCTTTTGATGTTGACATCGGGTACAATGTTGAAGTCTGCACATTGGAGGGTTGGGGATTCATCACTTACTAGGTGAAAATTGAGAAAGATATTAAACACAAAACAAACCTAAATGTGAGAAATTCAGCTTGTAAGTCAAGAAAAATAGCACACACAGACAAACTTTTATTAGAGTAAATAAGTGTTGGGTCTGAAACCTGCAACATTTACCTGATAACATATAAAGAAGAGAAAGACAATGGTATATACTCGAGGAGAATGGACCGAGATAGCTTCAGGTACCATCTCGAAACCACTCTGAGAGTGCTTTTTCTATCCGGCCTCTTTTATTTAGGGTTGTCCCTGGTTACACAATGTTTCTAAAGGGTGGGGGAAAATATGTGCAGCAAAGTAAACATTTTAATAGAACATAATAATGAACAATTTGTGAATATGTGAAGGTCAAGGCGACTTGTTGCATCTAACGAGCTCCTTCTGATAAGAGCGGCTCCTCCTCTATCTTACCACGATACCAAAACAGTGGAGGATACATCACCCCCACACCCACACCTGCTGATAGGAAAAACACGGTCACAGAAAACTGAAAGAAACATTGTTGTGCTGTATAGTAAAGCTATTGGAGAGAGAAGTTATAAAACACTCTTATATGATAAAAATACTCTTATATGATGTATAAAAAGAGGTCAAAACAGTTTATACTTGTAGTATAAACTCTTACATAAGAATATGAGGAATAATGATAACTTCTATATACATTTGTGCACATTATTCTAACATTTCCCTCCTGTTTATCATTACTTTGCTCAAATTCTCATAATCCCTCTAGTTCAGCCACTTCTCTCGATTTTCAGCTGCGAGTTCATGTTTATAACTACAAAGAATTTACACACAGAGGTACAAGATGTTGCTTTAGTCAGAATTATACTCATCATCCAGATTGGGGCACAGGTCAGGCCATTGAGTGTCATCAAGTCTGTCCTCCTCGTCCTGCTGATGGAGCAGCGGGTACAATTCCTGCATCTGCTGCTCCACAGGGGACAACGCTGTGGTGATAAGGCGGTTAAGAAGAGAACAAATACAGGGAACACAACAACATCCACACAAGGTCAAAATAGCTGCAAAAACAGCAACAGAGATTAAAACTGAAGCTACAAGATTTTTGTATTTTCCAAAGACATTCATCCAATCGTCCCAAAAGGAGTTATCTATTCCTGAGTGGTCTTTCATTTTGCTGTGAAGCGTTTTTTAGGCCCTCTATGGCTCGAGTGAGGCTGCCATCGGCAGCAGTGTTATTAGGAATGAACGTGCAACACGTTTCTCCAAACATGGCACATACACCTCCTGTTTCTGCGAGCAGCATGTCAAGGGCTATACGGTTTTGGAAAGCCATCAGGGATGTTGCAGATAACTGCGAGTGACCGGCCTAAAAACCAGCCTCAGTCCAATTACCTAGCTTTTGAACGTTGAAATGGATGTAGTTGATTCTGAATCGATCTATATTTTTGTTCATTGTACACCATGGACAGACGAGAGACTCAAAGCCTGCAGCAACTTGATTTACTAGTTTATACTCATCTGGTACCTCACGAGACACTATCTATATAAGTCGGGTCTGACTCTGTTTGCTAGTTTCTTTTACTCTGGAGTGGCTCAACAAAGGAATAAGACTAACTGCAGAGGTTAAATTTGCCACACTGGTCTGGAAAGTTACAACAGTTAGGATTAAAGTCACTAAGGCCCTATTATCAGTCTGCTGTCATTCAGGTACAGCTACAGAAAACGTACATGTTTGTTATGGTTAGGGAATTTCTAGTACAGACATAGAAGTTAGACTGATTCTTCATTTTTGCTAGATATTTTTGCATATCTGTACCACATGTTCACTTCAAATAAGTTTTTTTTTTTTTTATTGAGTGGGATTGTGGAGCATTCCACTATATTTTATTCATATCTTTATTAATATTATTCTTCCACCATTTTTTAAATTAATTTTTTAATTTTGTGATGTACCTTTAATAAACATAAGTATAAGTGTTTATTGACAAAACAAGCATACACAAAATCCCATTGTAAACAGAATAACACAAACGCCTAGTAGCAGTTAAGCTATGGTAAAGTTCTCAGTGTCTTCACCACATGAAGCAACTGTGGTGTCCGTCTGGGTGATTCATACCCCTGCTCACTGTCTCTCAGGTTTCCTCTCTGCACATGGTCGCCTTCAGAACAGCTGAATGTGATTTTTGATTGGTTGTCACACAGGATGTGAGGACTATTGTTGTTGTCACTTCTCTTTCCTTCCTTAAGTTCATCTGAAGTTGTAAATAATGTTTTCAGTACGTAAATTAACAGTATCAGGTTTAGCAGAAGTAAGATACTTAACTTCCCCATTTTCCTAAGCTCCTAAGGAATTCAAGACCATCTAATCTTCACTGACATTGAGACGAACGCCCACTATAAGGACGCCCCCTTTGAAGTCAGACTTTCCTAACTAAAACCCATATAGGTTTTTTTTTGCAAAGGGAAAAATGTATTCAACTACTTCTTTGTGCTTTTTTTACCACTGTGGGTGTCATTAGCAGTACCCCTTTTTTTTTTTTTTTTTTTTTACTCCTTCCACTTACTTCAATGTATTCAAAACCATTCAAACTTCAGGAGATTCCAGCTTATATTCAATTTTCCTAACATTCATACTTTCAGAGATATTCCAGATTTTACAACCAATTTTTCTCATTAGAAATACATTACGGAATTTTAAATTGGCCCTTTTCTCACATTTTCTTTACACAACTTTAAAAGCCTTCAACTCCTCTATACATTCAGATTAAGATCATTTTAATTTTTCAGTTTTAAATCATTTCATTCTTCATTCAGTATTCAAATTTTTTTTTCAAACTAATTTCAACTCAATTAAACTGATTTAAACTTTTCTGAATCTTCAAATCTCATATCTTTCACATATTTTTGAACTTAAGCCATTTACAATAGCAGCTTAGCAATTACAATTTTAGCTGGAGCAATCCATCTCGCAATTTCTTCAGAAATTTTATTTTCTAGTTATTATTATTTATTTATTTATTTATTTATTTATTTCATTTACAAAATGAGTTCCATTATCACTATAGATTCGTTTTGGAATGCCAAATCAAGAAATTATTTCTCTACACAGGATTTTTGCTACTATTAATGCATCTGGCTGGGTGACAGGAAATAATTCTATCCATTTAGTGAAAGGATCTATTAACACTAAACACCATTTCTTTCTCTCACACTGATTTAATTCTATGAAGTCCATGTGTGTATGGCTTCAAATGATGCATTGGTCGATGGAAATTTGGCCTCTTTTTGATTTTATACTGTCTTGAGCATTATGTCTAGCACAAACTGAACAAATCAAACAATTTTTTTTTTTTTTTTTTATAATTTATGAATCAATAGGGGGTAAAGTGTTGGTTAACTACTACACTCATCCCTCCTGTCGAGACATGGCAAGGCCCATGACTCGCTATTACTGCCTTTAAAGCTCTCTCTGTTTGCTGATCTGACAAAAATCTTTGTTTGGAAAACCTCATTTGTGGTAGTTTATGTCCAAGAGCTGTTTTTTTTTTTTTTTTTTTTTTGCACCGGAGTCACACAAAAAGGTTACAGGTAAACCATGAATCATTAACTATATCTGCGGTTTTATGTCTGCACAATGTATTCCTTCTCCAACAAACTGTTGCAGCTCCGCTGTTGAAGGAACAGATACAGGAAAACTTTTTTCTGCCACAAGCTATTGCACTGTTCAATAACTCACATATGTCAGACAGGGGCTCACACCTGTCTGCTTTATAGTACTTTTTTAAAAACTCCTATCACATCATATTACCGAGCACCTTAAATTGTCTGTATATCTATCATCCCATCTGTAATCTTTCGTATTTCATATTTATCACTCATTTCATATTTATTACTCATTTCACATTTATTACTCATTTCAATAGCCCACGTTTTTCATATCTCACTTTTATCTCTTTGGATGTTTAGTATATTTAGCCTGTATTTCTTGTATATACTTAGTATTTTTATTATTTTTAGTCTGCATTGTACTTCTTCTTATATTTAATTTTATTTTGTATTTACTTTTTGCTGCTATAACAAGAGAATTTCCCAGTTTGGGATCAATAAAGTATATTTATCTATCTATCTATCAAAAAAAAAATATATATATTTATTTATCTTCTCCAAGTATAGCACTTCTTCCTCCTCTGTCTCGTCTCTGTTCACACTTTCTCTTTATTTCTGTCGAATAACACTTGCTGTCTCTCCCTCTTTTAGTCATGCTTGATACTTTTTTCTACAGCTCTTCACCTAGTGACAAAAGCTCTGCAATTCTCTGATGTTGTGGTTCATGACCTAGGTCAGGGTACTATTCTT